TCTCTGGAAGATCCTAGGCTTGATTATGTATCACAGTGATGTGCCAGAAGAGACAACAGTCACTCCACTAGGGAAGAGTCCTGTTCAGAAAGAGGAATATCCCGTTCCTGAAGATCTCTGGTATACAGATAAGTTCAGCAAAGGCAATCTGAGCAAGTGGAGAGCAGTGGCATAGCATCCCTCCACTGAAAGATTCTGGTTTGAAGAGGTGGGTGGTCAGAGTAGCCAATGGGCAGAACTGTGAGCCACGTGGATGGTTATAAACAAGGAACCCAGTGATGGTATCCTGAATATCTGCACAGTTGGGCTGTGTATGGGGAGCTCGCTCTTTAGATTGTGTGGTGGGCCCCCCAGGAATGGACTATCCACACACTGATTTTGTAGCAGCAGCCTGCAGGCTTTGCAGTAGAGTATAGCATCCTAAATTGCAGGGATGACTGCACTGTGCTGCTGACCTTGCTTCAGCCCCATGAGCCTCTGTAGGGATGCTTCAGGGTGTCATCTTCCAAAGTCCCTGCTAATTTCAGGTGCATTCATCTCTGGCTGTCCCTTAGGAGGCCCAGAGTTCTGATATGGCTGAGTGCTCCTCTTGCAAACCTGGCAGCCTCCCCAACCAGCTGAGCCCTGAGCAAGCCCTGCTTTGCTAAGCATTGTGCAGAGCAGTGAAGGACAGCAGGGGGGTCATCCCTAAGGGGACAGTGAGATGCCAGCACACCCTGGGCCCTTCCCCTGCAATGCTGTGTGTTTGCTTTCAGCCTGGTTCTGTCTCTGCCTCCATCTGAAACTCTAAACTTCCTAAGCAGATTTTCATGCCCGACCATTTGTATTTGATAGCCGTGCTGAATTACTGCTTTATAAATAGCAAGAGCTTTATCTTGACTCTAACCAGCAACCTCAACTTAAAGCTAAATGCATAATTTACTGCAAATTAAACTTAATGGGACTAGAATAATTATGTTGACTTTTGGAAGTACTTAAGGATAAATACATGATTAGATATTTTTGCACACCGTGAGGAAATATTTATTTAGAAATACGAATTCTTCTCATTGAGCCTTCTGATGGCACATTTAGAGGTGACACCATTGGCATATAGATTACAGTACCATTAAAGCAACTCTCCAGCACTGGGGAGATGTTGGTTCTTGCTCCCCATCCCTCCACAGCCCTATTCTAAAAAATGAATATCAGCATCACTGCTAACTCCTATCTTCTCCCTAGGGATCTGTTTCTTTTTTTAATAGAAGTGGCTCAATTTGAGATTTTTTTTTCGTCCTACAAGTTAAAATGTAGAGAGATTTCAACAGACCTCATAGAATCTTAATCAGCAGCTCATGCAGTAACAGCAGGCATGACTGCAACGTGCTCCTGCATTTTGCTTGTGGTTAAAGCTCCAGTTGCCCCAAGCTGAGCAAAGCATCTTCCTCCTCCTCTGGGCTCTGTCTCCCAGGACCCCTGGAGGTGCAGTGTTGGATGCAGGGCACTGTTCCTGGTTGCTGATAGACACTGGGGGCATGCAGTTTAGGGCAGATCTCCTGGCCAGGGGGACACCCACCCACCCACAGCCCTTCCCAGCAGTGCTTCTAGGTTTCATTTTGCATCAGCCCCCTTTTTATTATTTATTGATCAAATCTAATTACTGCATCCTTCATGAACCTTAATTAAAGATGAAAAACAGTCCTGACAAGTCAATTAGATTTTTTTTTTTCCCTTGGTCTCCATTAAATTAAGACTCAAGTGTTACTGGAAGTGCTTAATATCACAACACATTAAACCAAAGGCTCCGTAATAGATAAATCACCCAAGACAATGCAGGAGCTTTCTTTTCCAGAAAGGCTTCCTTCCAACAGGTGTTCATTTGCTAGCTGGGGAAGATCCTGGAAGTCCCTCCTTGCTTTTGTGCATCTCTCCCAGTGTTGACTCCATTCCAGCTGAGGCTCTGTAAAGCAGTGCTGATGCTCCATGCCAGGAAGGCTCTGCTATCCCAGCACCTGGCCTTGTACCTGGTCCCCAGAAACATCCTTGCACAAACCAAGGTATGACTATACCTTTTTTCCCCTCTTTCCCCCCCTCCCCCATTCTCCCCCTGAATCATATGATGATATGGAACTAGATTTATCATCTAGTTCCACCCCCCCCCAGCTATAGGGCAGGGACACCTCCATCTATTCCTCCAAGTCCCATCCCAGTGCCAGCATGAGAAAGCCAGAGGCCATCACAAATTTGGAACATTTATTTATGCAACTGATTTTCTTAAAAGGAAAAGAAAGCCAAAAATAATAATTAAAAAAAAAAAAAAAAACCCAAACCAAAGAAACAGTCAACAACAGCTGGATGTGTGTGGTACAACCCACATCAAACACGTCCCTCCTGTGCCCCCCCCTGGGTCCTTCATGTCCCCTCCACGGAGACATTATAAAGGGAAAAAATAAAAGCACCACTTGAACCTGTAATACCAATAAACATTATCCATCTTAAGAACAGTATTTATATTTTTATATATATATTTCTCTATATATATTCCTATGTACAGGCTGCCCTCGCCTCTCATCATGTAAGCATCTCAGCAGGGGCTGGAGATGCGTTCATTTCTACAGCACTTTGATTCCAAAGTCTGCCCTAAAAACCCAGAGACATCCAGCAAGGAAATATTTAAAAAAACAACAAAACAAAAAAAACACCCTCACTTTTGAAACTTGTATGCAATTCCTCCATTCTCTGCTCTCTCCCACACAGCACCTGCATTCCCTGGGCAGTGTGGGCATGGTGCTGGAAAGAAGGGGATGCTGACCAACCCCACACAACAGCTGCAATGAAAGCACCAGCATCACCCGAAGCACTTGTGTTACCAACCCCAGCTGGAGCAATGAGACTGTTTGGTCACAAGGCAACACTGGCACACAGCAAGGATGGAAACAAAGGGGAATGTGTTGCATAGCCCTTGGATAAAGTGTTGTCAAGCTGTGCGAGTTATTCAGCAAAGATGTGGGTGAGCCAAGTATCCAGGCAAATCATTTCCAAGGGGAGAGATTTATCTTGTGGCCTTCCACCCTTGGAGAGCAGCTGGAAGATTCTCAGGGGTTTGGTCATCCTTGGAGAAGCCACTTTGGCTCTGAGACCTTCATGCTGCAGACTGGTGCAACCAAACAGCATCTGCTGGGCTTTGGATTGTGATGCAGGTATGAAGGTAGCATGGGTGGAAAGGTTCTGCTGCCCAGGGGAGATGGCAATGAAGGATGTGGATGCCCACGTGCATCCAGTGTGGGGATGCTGGTTTCTCATCTGGTTTTCTCTACTTCACCAAAAAATGACTGACAAAGGGTTGTGCTCAAGATAAGCAGCATCCCCAACTCCTGAAGACAAACCTGCATCCCTTCACTGTGCATTTATGGAGCTGTTTGGAGAGAGAAAGCCCCCACCACAGCTTGCTCCCATTGCCTGATGACAACCTGGCTTTTCCAGATAAAACAGCAAACACCGCACCTGATGTCTGCCTGCAACAGGATGAAACCAGAAGGCATCAGATGCTTTCTAACATCAGCTCTGTGATTTTGCCTTTAGGGTCCTGGCTGCTGGGTGGGCACCAGGAATGTGTGACCAGCTCTTAGAGCCCCCCAGAAAGGAATAATTACTATGGATGGAAATGACTGCATGGAGACAGATGTGCCATAGGGAAAACATCACTGCAGCAGCTTTGAAAGGACACAGAGAAGGCTCTGGGCTGGTCCCCATGAGGGACATCACACATCCCCTGCCTCCCATCCCACGGTCCCCCTCTGTCCAGGGCTGAATGCATGATGGACACAATTCACAGAAACACAACAGTGGAAACCAAGTTTGTGTTAAGCAGACAAATCCATGAACTTCCTTCAGGGGCTTTGCTCCAGTGCAGAGAGTTCCCACGCAGGGCAAAACACAACAGAACCACTGGGGCTCCTTGAAGAGCAGCTTCATCTCCAAGTATCATCTTAAAAAGATCTTTTTCCCAAATATTCATCCAACCAAAACAGGCTTGCAGCCTTCCTTGGGGTCTTCTCCAGCTGTTCCAGATGTGTCTGAGAGTGCCCAGGCAGTACTGAAGGGCCACCTCCTATGCTCACCAACTCCACATCACAGCAGGGATGGGATGAGGTGAGATGCAGCATCGACCCATGGCCATGCACTTGGAGCAGTGGGAGGGAAGGCGGAGAGCAGGGGATGGAGAACAGGCAGCACCTCCCCAGGTCCTTTTGTTGCTCCTGATTTGTGTCCATTTATGGTCCTTTGCTGTTTCCCCCTCCTCTCCTTCAGCACTAACACAAGTGCAAAAATGCGAGTTTGGCACAAACCCTAAGCAAACCTCTGCCTTTGCCCTCCTGGCGAGGTGCTATCTGGTCTCCAGGGACTCCAAGTATTCCAGTGCTATGTCGTAGCAGAAGTGATACTGCTCCTGTATGGGGACAGAGGAGAGTGTTAAGCTCCCAGCATGGCCAGCTTTATATTATAGCAAAAATAACTGTTTGAGCTCATAAGCTTTGTCCATCCTTGTCCTCATTTACGTGAGCTGCTCTTGTGCCTTCTCATTCTAATACAATTTATAGCACACAAAACTGTAGGGTAACGCAGACAGCAGAGGTGCCCCTCCTACTGAGATGTTGCTCTTTCAAGCATCCAATGAGCAAAACAGCCGGAAGGTGGAAAATCACCACAAGCCAGGTTTCAGATGCTCTTGGATGGGAGCATCCTGGATGCAAGAGAAGACTGAGCCTGGAGGAAAGGGAGGGAGCTCACCTCCCAAACTCCACAGCAGCAGCACAGAGATGGCAGATTGAGCACCAGCACAAAAATCCCATTATCCCCAGGTGGGAGTGGGAAGAGGGGCTTCAAAGTAGGGAGGCTGGGGCAGCTTAGACTAAAAGCACATAATGCTTTAGGATTAAGAAAAGAGATTGTTTCAATTTATTATAATATAAAAATAAACCCCACAGGCACACAGAGGGGGAAGATGCACAGGCTGGATCCAGAGGGAACTGTTCCGCTCTGGCTGCTCTCTGCAGGCCTGCACTCATACACAGGGGGAGGATCTGGTCTCCAGTGGCTCCAGGAGATTGGGATTCCCAGAATAGCTGTTTCAGGTTCATTTGAGCCTGGAGAATGCTTGTGTCCTGATGTGAGATGTTGCCTTTTTAATACCTTGGTAATTTAGCCCAATGGGCCTGGTGGCTTCATGCTTGTCACATCATCTTTCCATTATCTGCAGCCCTCCCTCCAGCCCCCGGTACCCTCCCTCACCTTCCCCTTCAATTTAATTCCTAATGAAATGGTTTTGAGGGGGATGTGATTTGAGGGGGGATGTGATTTGCGTTTGTCAACTTAGAGATTTTATAATCCAAGCGGGGTAAATATTTCCAGCTGGCTTATTTCTGAACCACCGCCAGGCACCAGCCCAGCACTGGAGATGTGGGGACAGACGTGTGCTGCTCCTGCCCCAACCCTGCCATCAGGGACCCAGAATAGGGCACAAGATTGGTCTAGCATTAGGTGGGATGGCTGGGGGTCCTGCATGTGGCAGGGGGGCTGGAGATTCATGATCCTTGAGGTCCCTTCCAACCCTGGCAATTCTGTGATTCTGTGATTTCTGCCCACAGCTGCCCCAAAAGAAACAGTGTTTTGGGGTACATGCATCCCCTTTTGCTGCTGGAGGCTTGCAGGAAGGCAGATGCACAGGGAGAAGCAGTTAGTTAACACAGATGGTGGTAGTGCATGCTGCTTACCAAGGTCTCCACCATATTTGGCTTGTAGTTGCGGAGGGTCTTCGCAGCATAGAAGATATCTGCCATGTTGTGACACTTGATCATCTCCAGGATCATGGTGGAGGCACAGTAGGTGCCACTCCGACCACCCCCATTCCTGGTGGGAGAGACACAAGGTAAGGGCCAAAGATGGCCTTCAAGCATCTTCATTCATTTAGTTCCCTTCATCTCTCTCCATCCCCTCCTTCCCAGTATAGGTCCCAGAACCCCCAATAAACTGGGGTGATATGGATGATTTCCACATGGTGAGAGGAGCTGTGATCCTGCCTTAATGCCCTCTGGCAATAGCCAGGTAAGAGCAACAAAATGCCTTTTTGGACCATCAGGGCTGGGGCTCAGACACCTGGGCTCTGTTCTTAATCATGGCCTCTCCAGGATCACTCAGGAAATCGGTCCATCGGGTCCCTCTGTGACCCTCTTGCTATCCACAGGGTGACCCAGCCCTGGTCCCCAGGCTGAGCACTCTGCATAGCACTGGCTGGAGGTGCTGGCCTCATTTTTCCAGCACTGCAGCAAAACCATTCATCCAGGAGTGAAACCATCCGTCACATCCACGTCTGATCCCTGACAGTGATGGGGACAGGAGTGAACATGACGCCGGTGTTTTATAAAGCATGTTTTCAAATTACCCTCCGGCTAATGAAGATGGGCAAAGCCATAATTAATTTTTGATTAAAGGCTCTCCTGCTGTCTCTACTAATCTGTGAACGTGCTGGGTCCCATCTGAGGAGAGCACGTGGATGTGAGGAGGGGATGAGGAGTGCACGTGCCTGATGAGCAGCCAGCAGTGAGAGATGCAGAGCTGCTGACACACCTCCCTGCAGCCTGTGACATGCAGAGGACATGAGGACAGGGCTGGGACCAGGGTGAACATCAGGGATGCTGCTTGCTGTTGGTGGGGGAACACACCTCATGGAGGAGATGTGACATAGTGATCACAGGGTGCTTCACCCCAAACTTGTGTTTTGGAAGAGGCAGCACCATCTGGGCACAAAATCAGCATGGGATGGGATTTTCAGAAGAATTGCTGTGGATAAATGAGCTGATGGCATCTCCCCCAACACCAGAGCCCACAGTCCTCCAGCTGACACTCACAGGCAGTGCACCACAGTCCTGCCATCACCGCTCTCCTTCTGCCACCTTTCCACTTGGGCCAGGAGGTGCAGGAAGGACTTCTTGGAGTCTGGGGTGTCCCGGTACGCCGACCATCGCAGGTACTGGAAGTGCCGGACCATCAGGTGCCCCTCCTGCAGCTAGAAAAGCAAACATCATCAGCATTAAGCCATGCCTCTTCTGGAGGTTTCATGGAGGGCAAGACGTGTTTGTCATGTATTAACTACAGAGCAAAAGGGGAAAAAAACTTTTCCTAATGCAGTGAGCCCTGACAGCTCACCCCAACCCAGTGGCCCCACCACTCCAGGCAGCTCCATCAATGTGTTTATCCTAATCAGCAGCACCTCAAGCTGTCTGAATCTCACAAAACCCAGCAGCAGAGCCCTCAGCTTCTCCAGGGCTCCTCCATCAGATCCTCATCCTGCATGCAGAGGACCCCAGGGGTGTGTTTGCTGTGTTTGCTGGAAGCCAGGAGGTTCACAAGGAGCTGCTGCCCACAGAAGGGTGGAGTGTTGGCACCATGCCTTAATACCCCAGTAAGCTGGTTAGTGGGGAAACCCAAATCTGGTTAGCAGGCTGCGAGAGGAGGATTACATCCATGGAGCTGAATGGGATCAAACTCCAGCCTGGCAGATGTGGGGGGGGGGGTTGTTGCTCAGAAATATTCAGGGCATCAGGAGGTAGAAGAGGAGAAAACTCCTCTGGCATCCAGTGAGGAGAGCCCCAAAACCAGAGAGAGCCTCACCCGGGTGATGTTCTGCACTCGGAAGAGACGGGACACGATGTCCTCATCTGCTGCTCCTGACACGTACTCCACCTCCATGGGGCCATAGTGCTGCAGCCCAGGCTCAGGCCAGTACTGAAGGCAGGGCTGCAGGAGGAATACGCACAGTGTAGCTTTAGCCATCACATGGCACGACAGTGGCCCTCAGCCCGTGGCCAGGACCGTCCCAAAGTCACACCAACATCAGCTGGCAACAAGGAAGGGCTGTAGAGCAGCTCCTGCTCCCTCCCACGTCCCGCAGGGCACTGATGGATGGCTCTGGCCAAGGGTCACGGATGCAATTGTTTTCACACCATGACAGCTGGGAAACCAGCAGCGATACAAAATATATGATGTTTGTCACCACACTTTAACAGAACATTTAGCATTTCAGGCCATCTAACGGCCTGGGCCTAACTGCATGGCAAATGTGTTTGAGAAATAATTGGTTATTAATAGGGGCTATAAATCTCCAAGATCTCTAAGCCTTCTAGACTCAGAGCTATAATTTGGATATTAAAACTTCCATCGGCAAGACACAGTTCAAGTGAGGGATATACCCTCTAAGTCACCTTTCAAAGCTGCCTGCTGTAAAGGCTGATTTATTAGCTGTTGGTCCTAAACTGGTAAACATTTAAGATCCAGCTAAATATTGTTACACGTAGACATCCCTGAAGAATAGACATCTAGAGAGAGAGACAGGGCTGAATAATGAAGAAATATGGCACAGTCCTGCCTGGGATGGTGCTGTGGGATAGCAGCTGTCCTGCCATGCTGCAGGGGACAGGCAGCTCCTGCTGGGCATTTCTGAACTGGGAATGAAAGAACAGGTGGGGAGAAAGAAATGAAATGTTGGATATTTTTCCCCCCCACTGCTGTTGTGGTGCCTTACAGCTGGGTTCAGCTGACAGCTGATGCTTTTGCTGCATTCTTATGGTGCAGGGACAGTACCATGTGAGCTGTGTGTGTTCAGCACTTGGATCCACACAACACTGGTGTTCCATTCATGGTATCCTTGTGACAAATGGTATAACTGCCATTTGGGGTCATTTACATTGTGTATCTGGTCTCACCTTGTAAAATTAGCCAGCTAATGAAGTCTTCTCCGACAGCCATTATGTGTTTATAATGCTAATTTTATGTAAAAATCCACTAAGTTTCCTCATTGAATTAACATTACAGACCCGGAATGGACTTTTACATCTGCTCTAAATGTGGCACAGCTCCAGCTCCCCAGCCTCCTTGGCAGAGGGCTTCTGTCCCTTCTCTGCAGGGAACAGGTGACAGCAGACATCTCTCTTCTAGCTCAGCAGATCTGGACATCCCATCACACAACAAACCTGCAGGACACCCACTCTGTGATTTATAAAGCAGCATTCACAAACCACCAGTCTTTTGGAAGACAAGCACTGGACAGCTTGGCACCAAAAGAGTGCCAGGACAAAGCACTGAAGGGGCTGACTGTGCACAATGAAACCATAAACTTGCTCACTGCAGGATGGAAGGATGCAAAATATGTCCCTGGTGATGTAGCCTTCCATGAAGAACCAGGGGAGCCCCATTTTGGGCCAAGCTTAACCAAAAAGTCTGTGTGAACCAGCAAAATCCCCCGTGCCTCAGTTTCCCTTTTCTAAAAGGAGAATAAAATCAGCTCTTTATCCCCCAAACTTTCCTCTGTCCTGTAAAATTACATCTCCTTTGGGCATTCGCAAAGATTACAGCTCTATGATGCAGTGCCAACCCAACGTGAAGGCAGGACAGAGCTGCATGCAGGGCTGTTGGCAGCACTCACCCAGGCAGAGTTGGACTGGTTCAGCTGGTTGAGCATAACGATGGAAGTGCAGCCATAGTCGTACACCAACCTCCAGAAGTCAGTGGTGGTGTTCTGCAGGGGGTGCAGGGTGACAATGAAGGCAGCACTCTTAGTGTAGCTCTGCAAGGAGGAAGAGCAGAATGGTTAAGGACACTGTGGCAGCACTGAAGCCATTGCTGTCACACCCTGAAAAACCAGTGCAACCAGTGCTGAGGGCCAGCAAAGCCATCTTCTCCATGCTTGAGCAGCACTGGTATCCCTGGCATGGCTTCAGTCTGAGTGCTGGGAGATTCACGTCCAGGAAAAGCAAATTTGGGTTGTCTCTGCCTGTGGTGGGGATGGTTTTCACAGGAAGGTGCTTCATATACGTAATTAGGAAAGGGAAATCATTTTGGATCCATGAACAAGTGCAGCTGGACTGCCCCAGACATGGGCAAAGGTGCCACTGCATCACCTATAGCATTGTTAGTCCCACGTCCCAGCACCCCTGGGCATCCCAGACAGCAGAAACAGTAAGCAGCTTTCTTTTGGGGGAAGAAAGGAAACCAGAATGAAAGACCTCTATAGAATAAGAGACTGCTTCAGCACTCTGCTTAAAATAGAACCCCCTCAAATTAAGGAGGGAGGGAGGGAAAGAGGAGAAAATAAAAGTTTGGAGATCTCCAAGAAGGAAGCTGGGATCTCTGCCTCTCCATCACACCCAGCAGCAACCCAGAGAAGCTCCCCCTGTAAAACGGGAGCAGCAAAGCTGAGCTTTGGCCCCTCAGCCATCCCAGCACCAATCTGTCAAAGGACTGCGAGCCCACGGCTGGGCATCAATCCCTTTCACATTAACACACTGCAGCTCAGACCTCCTTGGGAGCACAAACAGAGCCGTGCACAGCCTGTGCTGGTGAATCAATGCAGCTCAGCTAACAGCGAGTCCTTCAGCTGCTGCGAAGCCTTCTCACTCAGCTCATGGAAATGCCCCCACTGTGCATCGCATCCAATCTCTCCCTCTGCACTTTGAACTCCACAGTGAATGGATTGCATCCTTACCATGCACATCTCCAGCACCTGCAGCGCTTCTGCACCAGTGTCAGTGACAGTGCATGGCTCTGCCAGTGGCACCACAATGCTCAGCATGGACCGATGTGATCTGACAGACGGATGGACTTACTGAGCAAACCACTTTGGCACTTAAAGAAAATGAGATTTTTTTTTTTTTTTTTTTTAAAGAGGCAAATGGGTTTTATCCCTTCAGCGAGAATTTCATCCAAAGGGCTTTTCGTGTCTGTATAACAAAGTCTATTCTCTGACCCTGGCTGTCCCCATAACAGAGATTAAGGAAGGGAGGCTCAGTGATGTATAAACACAGAATGGATATGCAGACCCCAAGCAAGATGAAAACAAAGCTGCCTCTGTGCTATAGCCACAGCCTCCATCTGCTGCTCCTGAGCCACCAGCAGCTACCTCCAGTGTAGAAACTGCTTCTGCTGTGGGCAAATGCAGGTACAAAGTCTGTATGAAGACACAGGGAGATGCATCACCCAACAGGGGGAATAACACAGTGCTGAGCCAGAAGGTGCTGGTGCTCAGATGGGGAAGGCAGGCAGGCTGGCTGCAGCACACAGAGCTGTAGGGCTCAGCCCAAGCACTTGCCTAAAGGAAAGTGGTTTTGGTGACAAATGACCCGTCACTCACACCCTGAGCCTCTCTGCTCTGCTTTGCAATCATCAGCAGACAGCAAATTGCTTTTCCATGATGGGTGGCCTTTCTGATTGCACAAGGAGACACACGGTGGCTTTGGGACCACCTGGAAGCCCCTCAAGATTGCAGCAGAATGGACAGGAAGCATGCATCATGGGATGCTGGCTGCACTCAGGGATGCTTAGCACTAACAACTCCCTCCTTCTTCTGTGCTCCAGCTTCACTACAAAATAAGACTATGCCCTAACCTTCCTTTGTGAAAGATGAAAAGCCCTTCTGAGATGAACAAGATGTCACTGCACAAAGATGGGGTGAGGGACCCTGCTATGGAGGTCCCTGCCCTCCCTCTGCAGGCTGGGGCCGACATGTACTGACCTCTTTGTGCATTTGTACAAAATGAGGCTGCGAATTCATGCTGAGCAAGGTTTGGCATGAAAAGCCACCCCTCAGCTTACAACAACCCCACGAGCATGCCCACTCCTGTACTGAAATGGGGCTCAGGCTGTGTGGATGCTGGCTGCTCTGCAGGATAGGCAGCAAATGCCAAATCTGCACCAGGCTTCCCCACATCCCCTTTACAAGCCCAGATCCCTCACACCCAAGGTTCAGCAGCCCAAGCAACTCAGCATTTCCACTCAGAAGGACACTGAGGCTCACTCCATCCCATCTCCAAGCCTGCACACCACCCAAGGATGTTCACAGCATGGCACGAGGACCCTAAGCCCGAGCCAGCCCCTTCCTTCCCCACAGAGCACACGTACATCAGTTAAGGCCGCGTTGATGTAGTTGTTGCTGTCTCCATCCACAGAGATGAGGAAGGGAAGGCATCGGTCCGGAGGCAGGACATCCATGCTGCGGTTCCTGTCCCGGTTGCGGGGCAGGAGGGCGATGCTGCACTCTTCCACATCCAAGTGGGGAGTCACCGAGTTCAAGGTCTGTGGGCACACAGTCTCCTCTTAGCTCCTTCCTTGCTGGAGCCAATCCCCAAATCCCCTCTTGGCTCAGCTGGGAGACTGGGAGGGGATGTGTTGGTTCTGGGGTCACTCACCTGGAACTCCTCCCGCAGCTGTGAGGAGTTGCTCTGTGGCTCAATCCTCACCATCTCCTTGTAGGTGGGCTTGAACTCGCTGGCAGGGATGCTGGTTTCACCACACAGGCAAGCTTCCAGGATGGCATCGTGGATAAAGACGTACTGCTCCTGTGGGGAAAGAAAGAGGCTGAGCTGGGCATCACGCACAGGAAGCTCCCATTCTCCCATCACCCAGCCCCTTCTCTGCAAGATGAATTTGTGCAAGGCCAGGGCAGCTTGCAGGGAGCAAAACACCCTCATGTTCTTCTGATGTAGCTCTGCCAGCTCTAAGCAAATCACCCTCCAAAGGCAGAAAAGCAACGGGATGGGTGCTGGCTTTCTATGAGACGTGACCTCAGGTCGGGCTGGAAGTGCTTTACAGCCTTTCTTGGCTCTGGCACCAGCAGTACGATGTACCAACTCACCTCTGTCTGTATCATGTTGATCCTCCGTGAGCACAGTGTCTTCACACAGTTGTAGATGTCCACAACACCCTCACACTCAGCCATGTCCAACATGACATCCAGAACGATGTAGCAGCCAGTTCTCCCTGTGCCAGCACTGGAGAAGAGAAAAACAAAGTTAATGTATACCCAGACCATATGGCACCACACAAAGCCCCAGGCACCAGCAAGGTCTGCACAGGGCTTCAAGATGCCACACACCTCCATAACACAGCCCTCAGCCTGGCTTTCCCTGCATCCACCCCATCCATCTGCATCCACATGTTGCTGTGCAGGGGAGGGGAGGAGCTCACAGCAAAGGGTAATGAGTGCTTGAGCACAGCTGCAATCGATGCTCTTTGCAAGAAACACCTGAGTGCCAACAGTTCCCTCCCAAAGGATGCTCAGCATCAAACCCTGATGCACGGCTGAGCAGAACACTATGCTTGCAGCCAGACCAGACAGCAGCCCAAATCCTGACACTTTCCCACACGCAGCCAAAATGTGACAGAGGCTGAGCCCTTTGAGCCCCCCAGCACAGAGCTGCCCCCCTGCTCCTTTCCCACAAAGTCTTCTGCAGTGAAATCCTAATTTCTGGGGCTGATGAATCATTCGTCGTGATTATCAGTGATTACAGACTACAGGAGCTAATCACACTCGCTGTTGCCAGTGAATGAATACTGATGAGGCAATTGACAGGGAGAAATCAAATAAAAAAATCCCTCCCGTTCATCAGATCTTCCTTGTTTGCCCAGCAGAGGAAGAGCCATTAACCTGTCACACGGGGACGCCTGCACGAGGATGGAAAAAAATCACAGCTTTGCTCTGCTTTCCCTCAGCTGAACCAGGGACACCCTGCAGGGATGGGGAACAACATCCAGCTCTGCTCCTCCCCTTTGAGCAAACACAGTATTTCCATACAGCCATCACCAGTGGCCAAGCCAGCCATCCTCCCATGCCACCACCAACCCACAGCCCTGGGGATGACACCAAAACCAAACCCCAGCTCCGTCCCTGCCTCAGCTCTTCCTTTCAATTACCCATTTCCATTTTTTTCCCTGCTCAATATTTCAGGATAACTCCAAGCTTTTCAAAGGCTGAGCACTCACCTGTAACACGTCTTGCTGCCGCACGCACAACCCAACACCCCCAAAACCCACCCCGGATGGGGATGGTCCTCATGCCCACCTGCAGTGGATGACGATGGGGCCAGCATCGGGTGGTGTGGATGCCTTCACACGGCGGATGAAGGCCAGCAGCCCCGTGGCATGATAGGGGACACCGTGCTCAGGCCAGGATGTGAAGTGGAACTGCTTCACCTCGTGCCGGGCTGAGTAACCTCGCTGCAAGGAAGGGCAATACAGCACGTGGGCATGGGGCAGACAGACTGACGTGGCAACTGCAATGGGGAGGATGCATCACGAGGAGCCCCTGAGCTTCTCAGCTACTTTGAGAACAGCCTTGGGGTTAAAGCCCTACAGAAGGGATGCTACCGAGAACAGCAGGAGGGTAAAATCCTGCCATGACACCTGGACACCCCATTTCCTTAGGAATCAAAGATTTGCCCAGCCTCATTGTGATCAGTCACTTGAGGAGCACTATGGCTCTCTGCTCCTCAGATCCAAGAGGGTTAAAAACAAGCAGAGAAGGCAGCAGCCCTGAGGCACCCTGGATCTGTTCCACAAGCATCTTTGCTACCTGCCTCCTAACCAGACAGTGATTTCACATTCCTGCAGATTAAGAGGTGAATTGCATTGGCTCCATCCCCAGGTACCATGCTGGAAACTAACTGCCACATTACCCGCATTGCAGCCTGGAGGGGAAAAAGCACACTTATCCTCCTTTGCAATTACACAGTGCTCATCCTGAGCTGAGCTGAGGGCAGAGCCACAGCCAGGCTTGCAACAGAAAGTGCAAAAGGAGGACACAATTATGGGTGGCTCCTCCAAAATGTGGAGAAAATCCCACGCTGGGGTAAATAAGCAGGGTATTGGTAAATGCCAACAAGGAATGGTTAAAGATGCTCAAAGTTTGTCTGTTTGCATGGGCTGGTCTGGGCAGGGAGCATACCCTCTCGAGAGCAAAGGTCCGCACGGCGTACTCTGCCAGCATCTCTGACTTCACCAAGGTGATCTTGATGTCCCCATACATCTCCGAGTCATCCGGCCAATATTTGGAACATTTCACCTGCAAGAAGGGGACGGGGTGGATTTTTGGCTCCTGCAGAGCACGTTGCAGAGCCAGAGCCTGGAGGCAAGCAGTGCAAAGGAGACCCTTACCCGACCCACTTCCACCAGCTTGGTTATCATCACGATGCTGGAACAGTGCTCCTGCCACACCATGCGCCAGAAGTCGTAGACCATCTCCTGCTTGGGACCTGTGGACATAAGGAAAATGTGGTCCTCTGGCTTCTGGTGCCTGCACTGGGACTGCTGACCGAGTCTGCTTTGCTACTGCCCCATTTGTCCCCAGATTAGACTGTTTCTCCCCTTTCTTGCAAAGACCAAATAACCCAGGGACAAAATCTGGCTGCTAAATCACTGCTTGTAGAGAGCAAAGAGAAGGGACAACTCACCTTGGGTGGCGATGAAGTGGTTGGACCTGTGGTAACCCTGCAAGAGAAGCAGAGGTGTCAGGCCCAATGGACAGGACATGGGGCACTCAAACACTGCCCAACAAAACCCTTCCTGGTCAGCAGTAGCAGATGCTCAGGTCAGCTGTGCCACCAGCACGATGCTGCTGCAGCATTCCTTGCTAGCCTGGATCACATCCTATGACTCAGCAAAGGGTGTGACACCCCCCCACCCAAGTCTGCATCTGTTTGCAGACCAGCACCTCCAAAACACCCCAAACTGAGGTGTGGCCACGCTGTCACAAGAGCTCAATGAATAATACACATCCCAGCTTGCAGCAGCCACATGGCATGGGGTGATGGCCCCACTCCCCTCCTGCATCCCACAGCGGTGCGAGCATCACTGGCTCTCAACACAGACACGTCAGCCCAAGCAGCAGAGCATCTCCCAGTGAGACCAGTGCCACAGGGACCCACGGGCACCAGGTGTCCCATTCCTGCCAGCAGCCTTGGCCACCGCTCCCATTTATCACACACATGGAGGTGACAGTGGCAGAAGCTGGAGACCTCACCTTTCTCCCTGTCCCCAATCTTTCCATGTGTTTTACCAAGCCTGCCTCTCACAGGTGCAATTTTACACCTTTACGTGGAGCAACGGCCCCATGGCCAGGAGCAGAGGAGCAGGGAACCATCTACTTACTTCTCGGTTAATCCGAATCTGAACGATCCCATTCGGACACGGGTTTGAGAGAGAAAGATCAGAGACAGAGACATTAGTGAGGCAGAGCTTGAGAGGCAGGACAGAGCCACAGGGCAGGAAGGACACAAAGGGACAGGCATGGGGACACTGCTCGGGCACAGGGAGCCCATCACAGTGGTATCAGACCCCTCTTGCTGGACAATGTTCTCTGAGCAGCAGGGTCACCATCCTGGCCCACATCTGGAAGCAGCACCTGCAACCTGCAGAGCCCCTGTCTTCTCCCTCACTTTGCCTTTACCAGAGCCCAGAGTCTCAAGCCTCCCCTGGTCTTGGCATTGCTGGAGGGGACAGGGGGCACCATTCCAAGAGCCAAGCTCTGCTCAGATTCGTGCACTGCTGGGACCAAGGGTGCCCCATCAGCACAGTGCAAACCCCCAGCCCGTCCCCATGTTCCTCCTCCACCTCTGCATCCTCTGACTACAGAGGACAGCAATCCTAGAGCCATGCAGAAAGCATGGAGAAGAGAATGAGAAAGCAGAGACAGACAGAAGCTGAGGATGAAAGACAGATACAGCTGCAGGGGACAGCAACAGAAACAAGCACAAATTGCTAATGGACATAAAGCAGGAGGGCTCTTTAGGGACGTGTGGTGTGGTCTTCCTGAGCTCCCTCCAGAGTACAGACCCTGATGCCCTCGGGAAGCTCAGCCCCACAGATCTGTCCCTGCTTACATCAATGTAGTTGGCGTTGATGTAATCCGAGTTGGGATCACCCAGCAGTGGATGGAGCTTCACACGGTGGCGGTCATCTGGAAGGCAAGAGGAAAAGGTGCTGTTTCCTCCAGTGCTGTAGCCCAAAGGGGGGCTCCCAGGCCCCGACCCCTGCTATGCAAGAAGCTTTCTGCTGCCCCTTACCAGCCAAACCCCATCCGTTTATTCCTTGCCATGGACCAGACGCAATAAAACAAAATAAAACCCAGCCCTTTCGAAGGCTTTTCTCACTGTTCAGGGTGTTCAAGCCTTTGCTGCATGCACTTACACGTCGACACGTGATCCTGTCTCCCTTTGGTCTTGTCTTTCTTCTTTGAAGCATCCCAGCCTTCAAAGAAGCTCTGCAAGGAGAGACAGCTGTCACAGCCTGAGGACAGGGCTGTGGGGACACCCCCACCTCCAAAACCCTCCCAGGGATCAGGGCACAGGCCTTGATTTCATTGCAGTTCTGCCAGTTCTACACTTCTGTTGCATCCACAAAATGCTCTATTTTCCAGCAAATTACATATTGCTTGTTTTTTTTCTAGTTTGTTTTTTCTCTCTCTTTTTTTTTTTTTCAAATCTCCCCAGATCCTTCTCTCCCCAGCACGGAACAGGTTTGCATGTAATAACAGTAACATTCATAGATTGGCGTAAAAGGAGGAAAGTGGAAGGAAATTACATGTTTTCTCCCCTCCCATAATATCTGAGTGCTTTCAAATGACTAGGTTCCAAGAACATACAGCAGCTTTTCAAGGAGCACTAATGATTATAGCCAGCCCTGGTTTGTCCAATACATAAAAAAAAGGGGGAAAAAAAGCTTCTGCACTTGAAACAACTGAACATTAAACAGTAATTTCACTGGGAAATTTCAATCACTAGAACTGTGGGACACCAAGAAGCTGAGAAATCAGCACAGCCATGTGCACTGCAGCAGAGCTGTGAAGGATTCTGCACTCCATTAGAAGGACTGCAGCCCAATGGGATGGAATGGGCATGATGCAAGAGGTGACCCTCAGGGTGATGTCCCTCTCCTGGAAGAGCAGGGATGGCCCCTCCTGCTGCATTTTTATGGCCTTGGGAGCTGCCAGCTTGCAGAGAAATTGCTCATCCTCAGGCTGTGTCCATGCTTACTGCATGGGAAGGAGGGTAGATTGGAGAGTGAAGAAGTGGCAAGAGAGGTGACACCACTTGGCATTTGCCCAGGAGGACCTGAGCAAGGAAAAGCACCTCCAGCACCAGTAGAAGATGCTGGCTGACCTACTGCAGGGCTGGCAGAGCTGCCTCAGCTCACCTTGCCTTTTAGCTGCTGGTTAAGCAGAAAGCAGCCACAAACCCAATCAAGACTCAGCCAGAAAAAGTAGGAACACCTCCTGTGCTGACACCTAAAGACTTGGGGAGCTCAGAGAGCTGTGATCTCCAGCTCCCTCCTACCAAAGCACTGTAGATCCTCTTATACAAGGGTCCTGTACACCACCTTGCCACATCCTGGGGTCCTCCATCCCCCCTACCATGTATCCTCCTCAAAACGCAGCACACGACGCTCTCACCTCGTACTCCTGCTTGAAGCCATAACCTTCTGCTGTCTTCATCTGGTTGATGTGTTGGAGGAGGTCGGCCACACGCACAGCAGGGTGCAGCTGCCCAGTGTGATATGGGGACCCTTTGCGGCCACACTGGCGACGAGGAGAACCCCCCAGCAGGCTGCTGGACTCATTGACCACACTGCTGCGCTGGTCACCTGCAAACGAGGAGGGACAAAGGAGATCATCAGGGTCTGAGGCAATGCTCCCACGTCCCTGTCAGCCCCCTGCACCCGCAAAGCAAGGACAATGAAGTTCTCCAGAAGATGCTGGGGCTGCCCCGACACTGGACTCTCTCAGGGTGACAAAGGTGGTCCAGACCTTATCATACTCACTGCAGCTGTTCCTGCAGCCCAGAGCTGGCAAGGGCCATTACAGCCCCTTAGGACCACAGCACACCTCTCAGAACCACAGCACACCTCTTAGAAACCAGTGGGCAAGATCTTAAGAGGGCTCACTGCTTACTTCTCATTGATTCAAGCACTTACCTCCCATCCAGACCAGTACAAGCTACATGCATAAATATTCACTTAAAGACCTGACTCAAAGAACTGCATTGCTGAAGTCCAGAGCCCAGCCTAATGGTTAATTTTCCTCACTGCTGGATACGATCCTCTTATTTCTAGCACTGACACAAATGGACTTTGCTGTGGGTTAATGCATGATCTTATGCAGTGTTCTACCCAATGCCAGTGTCATATAATTACTGGCACAGCTTCCCTGTGTTCACCCCACAGGGCTGCTGCATGACCAGCACACACGATCCTGACATTTGGGTTTGCATGAGAACTGATGCTCCTCACTGCTGCCAAGAGAGGTGGGTGCTACAGATCTCACAGTGCCAGCGAGCAGCTCTGCTGTGCAGCGCAGCCCTGGATGTGGTTTCCCTAACAACACTTCTAAAAACCACCCATACTGGCTCGCTCAGAGCTGCCAGGCTTTTTTTTCTTTTTTTTTTTGGGTCTGCAAGGATCAGCCACTCACTTATGCTGGCACCTCCGGCTCCTCATGCAGCCTACACAGAGCCCCTCTCCATCAAGTTTAATAGGAAAAAAACTGTGGGTGTTTTGCAGGCTGGGATCTGCATGGTCACACACTGAAGACCCTTTATGAGATGTATTCCGGGCTTTGCTTAGATGCAAGAAAACAGAGGCAAAACCAGCAGAGAGACAGGGAGCAGCACACAGCAGGACAACAGCCCCAGCCCAGGTGGGAGCAGGATCCAGCTCTACAGCCCCACTCCCAAAAGAAACACAGAATGGCTGGCTATTCTAGCTCCAAGATGGAGAAAAATCTCAGTACAAACCAGCCTGGCTATGAGTGTTTCAAGGAGCCCCAGTAGGACAGTAACTGAAAAATAATACACTTATACAGATGTATTAAAAGGAGGAAAAGTTTGCCCTCTGGGCTTCTACTGTCTGCGAGACAATGCCAGGAATCATATTAATCCAGCATCGGTGGAGAAGAGCCGTGTGTAAAGCAGCATCTTGGAGTTACTGTAACAGATGTTATTAGCATATGTTTGAAACTGAGGCACTGAACGAGTTATTTTACAACTAAATCAGTGCCGAGTCGCTTACTCCAGTGGGTGCTCAGTTATCAGTCTCCCTCTGATATGAAGGCTGTGGCTCTTTAACCCTCCAAACCCCACAGCTGTGTACAGCTGTGGTCAGAAGCCAAAGAGCTGAGCGGGGCACCTTGCTGCTCTGACACTTACAGCCATGGGAACACTGCAGCTCCCTGTCCTTACCACGGTTGCTGTAGTTGTGGGTGTCCATGAAGGACAGCCCCAGCCTCTCGTCCTCTTGCAGCGTGCTCTGGTCTGTGAAGCTCCTGTCGATGGCACTCATCATGTGTGTCTTCTCATGGCGGTAATTAATTGTTGCTTTCGTCATGTTGACAGGTTTGCTGCAGGGAGATGCAAAGGGGAAAAGAATAAGGCTGAACCAGCATCACTGCCAGACCCCAAACCAGCTCCTCAACGTTTGGTTTATTTGGGGCTGCAGGACAGCTTATTTCTCCTGGTGCTTTGGTATTCTGGTGCCCCAATCCAGCTGCAGCTCCGCATGGAGCATCTCCTGCAGGCTGCAGCAGTCCCAGCTGTGCATCCTCAGTGTCCACTTCTGTCACTGGGGGCAGAACCAGCAGGAGACCTGAGCCCACACCACCTGAGGGACCTCACATTGGTGGGGAAAGGACACTGCAGGATGCTGCCAAAACCCTGAATTCAAGCAGGAGTACAGCCATGCTGGGTATCTGACCCTTTCTGCTTACACTGCCTTCCGTCCTAATGAGCTCAGAAGCATTATTTTCCCAAGCCAAAGAGGCCCTTAAGATGTACTTGACAGAGAAAAGGACTCGTTGGAGTGGAGAGCAGCAGAGCAAGGGGGGCAGGAAGGAAGGAGGAGAGAGAAAATGACAATTACTTACGGGTAATAGGAGTAAGAATAGTAGTTCCTCCTGGCAAGCGTGCAAACAAAGAGAATGGCACAAATTGCACAAGCAGCTTTTCTTTGATGGAGAAAGTGGGGCTCTAGGGCAGCATGCAGGGAAGGAGAGCACAGAATAGGCAGGCACCCGCACACCACGAGCATCTCAGAAGGTTCCCTTTCCTCTCAGCCCTCCTCCCCCACGAGCCATCCTCCTCCTGCACTGCCTCAAATCATGGGATGAAAGCTGAAGGCAGCTCCTCTCTGGCAGCAAGCCCTGGAGAGCAGGTAATGGGCTGCACGTGCCCTAACACCAATGAGTTATTGCTAGGGAGCCCTGAGCTGTCGTACAAAGCACCAGGGACTTCAGCCCAACTCCGTGCTCAGAAAAATCATGCACATCAGACAGAACCCTGGCTGCACCCACAGCAGTCTGGGCATCCTGGTAGCAGAGTCCAAGTACCAGCTCTTGTGGCAGCCATGGTCAGAGAGCTGCCCAGGGGATACTGGGGATATTTCACGTTTCGTGAGACTGAACAGTGAACGTGCTGAGAATTTGGGCCATCCCCAGGGAGGTGGTGTTGCTTCCCCAGTCAGGGAACATGGGGCCAGGGTCGCCTACGCCGGCTGTCACCATTCATTACAGACGAGTGGATTCTGGGGGCACATTTCCATTCCACCACATCAGCATTTTCCAACAGCAAAACGCTCCAGAGGAGATTGATGAGCTAATCCCAGCTTCCAACAGCTCCACGTTTGTATCCTCAAACACTGGGTTTAATTTGTGGCCCCTTCTGCCAGTTCACGCTGGGACACCACAGCAAAGGGCAATGGAAAGACAGCAGTTTTCTCTCTGCTGGCCCAACAGCACCATGAGAACCAAAGGGCTTTAAAAGCATCACCACTACTAGTGTTTGCTCCATCCAGAACATGCCCAGCACCACATGCACGAGGATGCAAGGAGCCACGAGCCAATCCTGCACATCTCACAGTGCTGATGGGACACCACAGCCTTGCTTTCAAACTGGCACAAACCAGCAAGAATCCTTCAAGGCACACAAAGTCATAAAGAGATGTGCAGATTTGCACGGGCTGTGGTTGTTTTGCTCCCCCTGGCCATTAGCATACTTTCCTCCCATCGCTCCCAAGCCCTGCACGAGGACAGCATTTAATTGCTGCCCTTTTTTCCCTGCCGTGCCAGCCCTGCTTTTAATGCCCCCCACGGCTCAGTGCTGCCTTGGGCCCCCTGAAGTAAAAGGCCACTTTCCAGGGTGCTGCGCTTCAGCAAAAAGCAGCGGCTGCATCCCCAGTGCTCCTGGGGTTGTGTGTCCCAGAAAGCCCTCATCCTCCTCCCTCCCATCCCGCTGAGCTTCCCCAACAACAGCTGCATGGCCACAGTCCCAGCCCGGATCACAAAGCACAGGGACCCCCATGGGAGGGGAGTTTGGGGTCCCCAATGGGTGAGTGTTAGGAAAGCTCCCCTCCAGCACACAAATGAATCGAAATGTTTCATTTAGAGCCAGAAAAGCTGGAGGGGCTCAGCATGTTACTGCTCATGTTTTAGTAAAAAAAATAAAATAAAATAAAAAAGGAGTATTTCTGCATTAAAATGAGCCCGGGCAGAGTGGGGATGGCTGAGCATCCATACCTTGTGCAGGCACCTGCATCTCCCTCCATGGGGGATGGGGCTGCTCCCATTGTCCTCGAGCAGAGGGACAGGGATGGGGACAGTGAAGCTCAGCACTGCCCCAGCATCCCTCACGCAACAGCATTTTGCTCCATAGAGAACTAACAGAGCTGCACAAAGCAGTAACAGACCAGAAAACACGGAGGAGAGTGATTATGGACTGAAGCTGCAGAGTCTCCAGGGTGATGGAGTGTCCCAGGACTTTGCACCTTGGTTCCCAGGGTCACCTCCTGCTGTGCCCTTCTCACTGCAGCTGCATGGATTTATTCCACGCCTTCAACCCGTGCACTGCCCCAGATGCTCAGCATCTCCCTGCTACCCAGCCAGAATGAATGCCAGCCCCTCCTCACGTTTCCTGACAGGTATGGGTTGGATGTGGCAGGGGAAGCAAACGAAGAAATCTCACAGATCCCAACTACTGACATCAGTTTGGCTGGGAGGAGGATCTGGAGTCCACCCAGGGGGCTCCCAGTCACCTCCAGTTAGCACTGCACCCCACTGGTGACAGCAGGGAGGACGGGCAGATGGAAGTGCAGGTCTCCTTACCCTTTCCGAATGACAACAATGATGGCTCCCAGCAGGATAATGAGGACGACGAGCCCACCAGCACAGATTCCCAGGATCAGCCCCATCTCCTCTGAGTGCTGAGATACCTCCAGAGGCCGTTTGCTCTCTTTGCAGGCAGCTGCCAGGGGAAAGCATGAGAGGCTCAGTGCTCAGCTCCCTCCTGTAACTCCCACCCAGGTCTGGGCACCTCCCTCTGCCTCCCACACAGCAATGGATGGAAAACCAAGTGGCAATGTCAGGTGGGAAAACACAGGGAGGGAAGAGAAACAAGTGCTCCTTTGGGCACCAGGATGGATGATGCAGGTGCTCCGTGACAATGTTCAGACCGTGGGCAGACATGCCTTGCTGCACCCTGCAATTGGAATTATCAAATCACAAAATATCCTGAGCTGGAAGGGACTCACAAATATCACTGCATCCAGTCATGTGAATTCTATGTAATGCGTTGTGCTGCCTCCTTTACGTGCAGAGGATGCAAAGGATGCTGTAACAGTAGAGCCCAACAACACCCAGGTCTTTTCCCTGTAATTTTTCCCCATGAGATGCTCTGCATGTTTTATCCCATCTGAGACATGAAGGGACTTTATTCTGCACAGCCTGGAGATCCTCAGTGCCTTAAGCATATCCCTCTGCCATCCAGTCCCCAGGGCACAACCAGCCCCATCCTACAACAGCCACTACAATACAGCATCAGAGCAAAATTCTAGCAAGAGGAAAAACTAAAAACATAAGAAAGCAAGCACCAACCACGCTCCCTCCCAGCAGTATGGGACTGAGCTGTAATGAACCATCATTCACTCCCTGATCTCAGGGCTGCACTCTGGGTCCACAGCCTCAGTAGAAGCAATCTAGCTGGAATAGCTGCAGTGAGCAAGGAGCTTACCAGGAGCAGGGAGCTTACCTTTGCGGGCGATGCGGATACAATTGAGCCGGGTTTCCTGCAGAGGAAAGAGATGGGGAATCAGAGGCTGGCTGGATGCAAGCCTGACTTGCTTTTGCCCTCAAATTGAACGAGTTTCCAATTGATTTACGTTGAAGCACCCACTGCTGAATTATCTGTCCCCAGCATCTCCTATACCAATGTCCTTTGGTTTAACCAGGGCAACAAAACTCAGTGGCGTGCAAAGGGAAGGTCCTGAGCGAGCTCTTGGAGGATCTGCAGAACACCAGTGAGCTAAAGACCAAAGCAGCCAAAGCATCCCAGGTCATTCAGCAAAGTCTTCACACTCCATCCCTGGTCCTCTGCATGTGCTGCTAATGTTGCCATGATGGCTTCAAGCTCAACTGTCCAATAATCTTAGCATTTGCGCTGGGAATTCAGCTAAAATATTCCATCTTTTGATGTGTTCGATTTCTGGCAGAAAAAAAATCCACTGTTTTTGCAGTTCTCCTCTCTAAGCTTCCTCCAGCACCTCAGGACACCAGCACTGGAGCATCGTGGGCTCCATCCACGCAGCCCAACCAAAATCTGTCCATGCAAAGTGCCTGGGGCAGCTGGCACAGTGCTGCAATCCCAGAGAGTTCCAGGTCTGGCTTCTCCTGCTTTGTGGTCCAGCTGGCCCGAAAGCCACAGCAAACCCAAGCTGGGATGCAGCTTTCTCTCAGTGTCTGACAGCAGCCAGGGCAAACCCATTGGCTCCCAGCAGGAAGGCTGTAAAGCACCAGTTATCATCCAGCAGTGCCCAAGTGAGCCAGAGCCGAGATGCAGCAGCCTGTCTCAGCTCTAATTACAACCCAGCGAGGTGTGAAAGATCCCGATGGAGAAGGATTCAAAATTCACATCCCTCCTTCCAAAAAGCGAGCTGCCAGCCAGTGCGTGGATCTGTGCAGGAGCTGAGATGAGGATGCTGCCATTGTCCCATTGCTTTGTGTTTGGCAGCTTGTGCCCCAGCTGGAAAGAGGTCTGCTAGAGCACGTGAGGATGGTAAAGGTATCCTGAGGGTCCTTGGAGGAAATCAGCCCAGAGGGTAGAGCTTAGGACAGATGGATCCAGGTGTTGGTGCCAAAAAGCCAAGGAACTGGTGGCCCAGGAATATGTTGACAACTCTTCGTTTCCAAATCGTTCTTTTCTATCCAAATCATTCTGGGAAAGCAGGTCTGTTCCACAACAGCAGGAGCTGAGGTTGGACCCCTCCAGCCTCAGCAGCCAGGCCCAGGCAGGGGACACATATGTCCCAGGAGGCGCCCAGCCTGTGGGGAGGATGGAGAGCACCCAGCTGTGCTCCCAACATGTCCCCATGGCCCTGGGTGACAGCCCCCAGATAGGACAGCGCGAGCTCCAAGGGTGAACAGCCAGCAGAAGGACCCAAAACAAGCCCCACTTCCCAGGACCCTTGGGATGCCATGCAGCTGGTGGCAAAGTAGATATACCAGCATCTCCAAGGAGACCCAGAGAGATGCATAGTACTCACCCCTCTGAGGTTGCTCATGGCCTGGAAGTAGATGAGATAGGCCTTCTTAGGCTCCAGTGGTGGGTTCCAGTAGCCACTGTAGGTCTGGTTGTCCCCTACAGTGAACGGCTTGGCTTCAGTGAGGCTGCTGGCAGGCAGCTCAGCCCCAAAATAGTGCACGGAGCCACGAGACATGGCATCATCAAACGTCAGTGGCACCGGGAAGCACTCCTGCCCACCCAGCTCCCGCTTGATCCTCTTGGGTCGGTCTTCTTCCACAATGACCTGGTAGGTACTGGGTAGGTGGAAGGTGCAAGATACAGGTTAACTTTGCATGATTGCCCTTCCCACCGTGCCCTCAGCCCCTCGCAGTCCTCATTTACCTGATGGGAGCCCCCCGGCCCTGTGCTGGCCGCAGCAGCACCGTGATTGTGCTCTCTGACTCGCCCAGTGGTGATGGCATATCCCCATAGTCGAAGGTAGGAGCTGCAAAGAGAGCACGTGGGACTGAGCAGCAGCCCTGTGTGTGCAGAGCTGCCTGCATGGGGGAAACTGAGGCACATGCAAAACTCTCTCAGGTCTTGAGCAACGACTGTGTTTTGGAGAGGACCTGGGGGTTGCGGCGAGGGATTTAATGCCACAGGTCCAGCAGAAACCACAGGATGCAACCTTGGCAGGACCCAAGCACTCCAGCTTTAAGAGGGGCCCTGTGTGCTTGGGGATAGCATCTCACCCAACCCCTGGCACGGCACAAGCATCACCCTGAGGACAGAAGCACCCACAAAGCAAGGAGGGGAATCCATCACACCTGCACAGAGAAGCTCTGAGAGCCAGATTTCACAACACCTACCAGATATGTTGGTGGTGATCTCAGTGAGTGCTGTCTGGCCAAAGCCCTTGCCTGTGCGGGCACGCACTGAGAAGAGGTAGGTGGTGCCAGGGTGCAGGTTGGAGAAGACGTGGTAAGTCTCATTGCGCAGCTTGGAGACGGTGCGTCGCGGGCCGGGCACATTGACTGCTGGGTCTGAGGACTCAATGCTCTGGTAGCTGATCTGGAGGGACAGAATGGAGCATCATGAGTGAGCGGGAGCAAAGGGAATGTCACAGAATAGAAGAGAATATCCCGAAGTTGGAAGGGACCCACGTGGATTATTGATGCCCGTGCTTGTGTTTTGGGGTAAACTGCAATGTGTTTGGAAAAGCTGCTGCTGGAAAGCAGTCCTGGCACTGAAAGCAAGGCTACCCAAGAGAGAAACCCTGCAGTCAGGAGAGTTTCAGTGGGCTGGATCAATGCTCCCTGCAGCACACTGATAATTCTGTGGGTACCAGAGGTGCCAGGGCTCAGGATGTACCTCGTACTGCGTGATGAGGCCATTGGGCTCCACCGGTTCCTCCCACTTCAGAAAGATCATGTCCTCCAGAGGGGTGAAGGTGAGTGACTCAGAGGCGATGCCACCAGGCACTGGGAAAGGAAAAGGGTTAGGATGAGTCCCACTGGGGTTTGCTGTGAGCACTGCCCCCACAATGCAGCTTTCCTCCCCCCTCAGCAGAAGTGCTCACCATACCCCAGCTCTCCACACTAGCTACACCACCACCAATAAAAACTACAAATAGTAGCAGTTGAAGGTGTCAGGATTGATATTCACTTATTTAGCACGGCTTTCTTTTATCATCCTTCCCCCGCCCCCAACCCAAGGGGGTTGTTAAGGAGGGCAATTGTTCAGCCAAGACCATTATTCCCAAGCAGCAGCATCTGCTGCAAGCTTTAGTGCCTGGAAAAAAAAAAAAAAAAAAAAAAAAATCACACCCATCATTTCAGAAGCAATTAAACCCACTTAAACCAGCATAGTGCATGTGGGACCAGGATGCTGGAGGCACAGTGGGAATCATCATTAGCAGTTATTACCTTGGGAACAGCCCTCAGGTGGGACACAATCCAGGCAAGATCTCATTGATAGCATCACATTCAGCACAGCTTTGCTGAGCTTTGCTATTTGGGTCCAGGTAGGTGGAGCCAGGCAACCTCACATGTGTCTCTTCCACCCAGATGCCAGCTCTTCCCATCTTCCCTTTATTTTTTTTTGCAGCTTTTGTTCAGATCTAATTATACAGTCAAGGGAGAGGGATTGCCTTCTGCACACTTCCCACCATGCAAATACACAGTTTCCACTTGATTCACAAGTTAATCTAATCAGAAGCATCATGTCCTACAGGTGTACACGAGACACTTATTAAATTCCTGGAAATCTTTAGGGCAGGAATGTGTGCACCTATAAAAACACATTTCTTCTGCAAAACAAATGCAGGGTGCTCACCTGTGGATACAAAACACGCCACGACCACGTGGGCAGATCCCAGCAGTGTGCAAAGCCCTCTGCCATGCCTACATATACCTGTATTTGCATGTATTTACTCTGGCTTGCAGCCAGCAGGGGAAAGAGCTGTCTCCCTGCAGCACCAACACATTGCTCTGCTGCTGCAGAGGTGAGGGAAGAAAGGAAAGCCAGGAAAGCACCAGCCCTAAAATGGAGCCCAGCAGAACTCTATACCACAGATGACATCAATTTGCTTCCTTGGTCAACGAGGTGTGTGACCTTGCCATGAAAGGAGATTAAGTTCATTAACCAGGACCTTCCCTCTCATGCTGGCTGTGACCAATGCTGTGCTGCCTTCCAGATGTTTCTCAATAACTCCCACAATAATTTTCTCCATAATTTTGCCAGGCACCAAAGTGAGCCTGACAGGCCTGTAATTACCTAGAGAAGCCCCAGTGATGCACAAACAGACGATGCAAACAAAGCACAAAAGATTCAAATAAAACACAATCAAAGGTTCTATTATTGAGTCTTTGCCATCTCCTCTTAATTGCACGTGGGGCTGCTTGTCAACCAGTCCTGGTAACTCAGATCATCATCATTCAGTGCAGAGGAGGGAAAGATTCAGCCTGTCCCTATCAGGTCTGGTTGCTTAAAAAGCAGCAGGGAACACCTCAGTCCCATGGAGATGGAGAGCATAAGGTGGGAACGTCCCCATCACACAGTGAGGTGACTGCAGAGCCCTCAGCTCAGCCATGGCACTCACTTGCTCTTCTGCAAGCTTTCAGAGACACTACACTGCCCTGGCCATGGAAATGCAGGAGCTGCAGCAGCTGAGCTTCACACCCTGTCATTAGCTAATTTAGATAAACTGAATATCTAATGTAGATAAATTGAATAGGGTTAGCTGGGCCAAACCCACTTGTAACATTTGCAGTGCATCTATGAACCCAAAGATGTGTTGATTCCTCCTGGGATGGAAAGTGCTCATCCTACCAAGTTCAGTCCAAGGGGGGAGCAGCCAGCCCTGGTTAATCAACGTATAGTGAGAAGCATCTGGAGTGATTACAGTATAGCAAAAAAACATCTGGAGCTACTGTATTAATATACAATAAGAAAGCAGCTGCAGCAGTCACAGCACAGTGAAAACAGCTGAAGCAATTAGAGATTTAAAAAAAGGCATCAGGAGCACAGAGCTGGGTGCCCATAGTTGAGCAGGCTCAGGTCTAAGGACACAGCGTGCTGATAGGATGCACGAAGTAATCACTGTGGTTTTAGTATTAGTATTTAGTATTTTAGTGTTTAGTATTAAGAGACTGGAGCGGGACCAAAGACCCAGAGCAGGTTTGCTTGAAGGGTATCCACCTTTTCTTGGTGCCTGGATAGGGCACTGGGTCTCAGAAAGCAGGGAAAGACAAACAGTTTGGCTGTACGTGAAGAGCTCATGTGTGCAACTCGATTGCAAAGTTAATGGGAGAAAAGCAAAGGGAAGCTGAGCAAAGCTGTGCTGGGAACATGCTGACCTCCAGTTCACAGCACTCACCAAGAAACCCAGCAAAGCCAAGTTAATCAGCCTGAGCTCTGCAGATGAAAGGAGTCACCTAAGTGCAAAGCGTTAATTGCTTTGATCACTGTTGCTATTGCTGCTAGGTTTTAATTCCACAATATGGGACGAACGAGGGCTCCCCATGCGGGCATGAGCTGAGATGGGCATCACTGCACGGGGCACAGCTGAAATCCTACAGGACGGGGATTTCTCTGGGTAGACACGCCGCCCCATCACAATCCAACCGACCCACAGCATTCCTCCAAACCTTTTTTGTGAGGGTTATCCTTACCGTCCTCATCCGTCTGGAACGTCACCTCCTTGCCCTCCTTACGGCCCTCGGGGTTGGAGAGGATGAGCTTGACGTGGATGTTCCTGTAGGGCAGCAGGTTTTTGATGGTGTAGCGGTTGGCGTTGCGCTCCATCTTGGCACACTCACGGAAGGTTTGGTTGAGGCCAGTGCCCACCAGGTAGCGATAGCACAGCGAGACGCTGTAGGTGTGGCAACGGGTCAGGTTGTAGCCCAGAGGTTCCCATTGTAATGTCAGCTGCCTGGATTGGATCTCGGAGAAAGCCAGGCCTTTGGGGGCCCGCATGGGCTCTGCCAGGGAGAGACAGAATCAAAATACACTGCTCAAAGTGTTTAAGCTAAAGCAGCTTCGATTGCGTGGAGGGGGAGACTTCATAGAGTGGAAGTATTGCAGGCGTGCGCAGCAAGCCTGAGTTCTAAACAGGTTTGCTGCCCCACGTTGCCCAGATTGTGGAGTCTCCTCCTTGGAGATTCTCCAATGTGAGCTGGATGTGGTCCTGGGCAGCCCTGCTGGAGCAGGGTGAGCCAGATGGACCCTTCCCACCTCACCATCCTGTGACTTCCGAGGCCACCAGCACTGCCTCTGCTCCTCCTCACCCATTAATGGGATCACAGCAATGTGCAGCAGTGTGGCTCCCAACACTGCAACTGAGATGGCAGCCCTCAGCTGTTCATCAAGCTGATGGCAAACTCTCAATAGGACAGAGTGACAAAAAAAAAAATTAATTATCATTTGCATAAATAAGAGGAGCCAAACTCCCTTGCCAAGAGTACACATGTGGGTGGTTTGTGTTAGCCCCAGTTAATTCCTTTAAGGACCTAAAGGGGTGAGGAAAGGATGATGAGAGTGAATTTTTGAGGTCCTGGCCCATCCTGGAACAGATCCTCAGGGAGAATCCATGCTGCAAATCCCCATGGGATTTGTGCCAAGGAGGACTTTGGGCAGCCCAGGGCTGCAGAAAGCATTTGTAACCTCACTGCATGCTCCAAATGTCCTCACAGGCTGTCCTCACTGCCTGCACTCCCAGTCTGAGTCCCTTCTATGCCTGGTTCAAGGATTCAGCTCTGGTACCACTGTTAGCAGAATGAAGATTTTCACCCCCATCACCATCAGCAACCAACCCATCACCTTCTTCACCCATCAAGAACCCATCTCCTTATTCCAGTGCATTTAAATGATCAGTAGGGAACAGACAGCCCAGCATCCCCAGGCCAACACACACAGATATGAATAGCAATTCAGCAAGAGCTCAGCTAACGAGGATGTCTGCAGGCACCAACATCACTGAATATTTCCATGCAATTAGTGCCAGTGCCAAGCCACCCGTGCTCACAGTTGCTAACACAGCTGCATGGACACAGGCATAGTGTCAAACACGGATGACAGCACTGGGCATCTCCTGTTGCTCCAGAGCAGGATGTATTTATCCTTTAAGTGGATTATTCCAGGGTCCTTTTGGATCAGATTCTGCAAAGCCCACTGCCACCACGGGCTGGTCCAGAGATGCTGCAGAATGATGGCTGGCACATCCAGGAGGATGTGGGGCTGGTGACCGAAACGCAGCTACTTCTCTGATAGAACAGTTGCTTAATCACACCATGTGCTAGGTTGGGAGTGAAATCCATGCTTGTATCACAATGGAAGAGCACTGGTAGCCTAGACTGGAGGTGGAGACCATTGGAAATTGAACACAGAGCGGCTGTGATCAGCTTGGAGGTAACCATGAAACCCAGGCATACTTGCAGCACTTGTAAGAATTAAGTGGGAGAAATACTCCTTCCAGCCCCAGGCTGCTGCACCCTGCTAAGGGTCTGCATCTCCAGATCTGCTCCTCTACCACTGTCAGCAGCCAGCCCCCCAGGCTCACGGGCATGGCCAGAGCTGCAATGCTCCAGCTCCAGAACGTCCCAGCCCTGCAGCTGTTCCTGCTCCACTCCTGCCATGCATTGGTGTGACAGCACAGGGACAACGTGCACAGGGGTGGCAGATCCCAGCTTGCTGCCATGTCACCAGCACGATGACAATGCAGGGACAAGCCCACCCCTGTGTCCTGGTGGCTGCTTTCAAGTTCAGAAGGAAGGATGCTGCTGGTATAGCACTCTCAAAGGAGTGCCCACAAGGAAAGGGACCACATCCCCTCCATCAAGAGCAGTCAAGCTTGGCTGGTTAAAATAACAAAATAAGGTCCCAGAAAGGAGCCAACCCACCTGCACACTTGGTACGGCTGATGAGGGGGGGTCCCGGTTTCCCCGTGCCCCCTTCACCAGGACGTGTCAGCAGGACACTGATCTCATACTCTGTGTCAGGATCCAGGTGCCAGAGTTTGTAGGTCTGCATGTTGACAGCGTGCACCTCTGACCACGGCCCCGAGGTCATGCGGTATTCTATCTCCTTGCGTACGATGGGGCCGTCGCCGATGATGGAGTTGGTGTTGAGCTGGATGATGAGGTAGGTGGATCCAGCCCGCAGCAACTGGGGGGGTGCGATGGGTGTTGGGGGCTCTGGAAGAGAGAGGAGAAGCAGCTGGAGCATCTCACTCCCATCCCAAAGCTGGAGCATGCGTGCCCAAAGGACAAGAAAAACTGATAAGGAAACGACACCGAAGTATTCAACACAAACCAGACATTAATTGTCAGCCCGTGCCGTATGCCATGCATCTCTCTAACAGCCCTGGAAGCATCGAGGTTCCGTATGACCAAATCTTATTATCTGTAGAAGATGCACTGCCTGCCATTCACTAAGGTGCCACAAAGTTTCATCGGAATGAATTAATTCCTTTCAACTGCAACCAATAATCAATGAACTAAGACCAGTGGGAAAGATAGTGTCCCAGTTTTATGCTGAGCCATTGCGTACTGACTTGTTTGCAGTGAGTAATGCAATCTCAGTGCCCTGACACCCCTGGAATCAGGAGCGAGAAGAAGCGCAGTGCATAGAGATGACAGCGGGCACCCACCTTTCACAATGAGCTCAGCAAAATTGGAAACCCCAGAGCCACGGCTGGACTGGGTGACACAACGATACAGGTCCTGCTCGCCCTTGGACACCTCGTCCAGCTGGAAGGTGGCCAGGAAGCGCCGGTGGCTGATGTGCTTCACGGAGGCAGCAGGGACCACTTCGCCGCTCTGCCTCTGCCCAGCGGGGAGAGAAAGGCAGGAGGAGAGCTCAGCGTGGCACTCGGAGCCACCAAACGTGGCCCTCGAGGACCGAATCCTTGCCACGCACAGATCTCACCTGCATGAGGAAGCGCTCTGCCTCTGCAGCCTTGCCAGCAGCCACACACTGGAAGGTGGCATTTTGCCCCGCGTTCACCTCCACGTCACCCAGGCGGGAGAAGTGAGGGGCTTTTGCTGCCATGGAACAAAAAAAAGTATTAAGGAGGCTCTTGTCTGCCTCATATCTCCACTGCAACCCCAAAACTCGCCCGGTTGAAGCCAAGCTCGCAGGATGGGCTCGAGTCCCATTTGCACAGCCCAGCCCTGGATCCCTCCCAAGAAGCCCACAGAGATGCCCCTAGGGTAGGACCTCCATCCCTGCAGCAGCCTGCACCTCACCAAGGCTCTTTGACAACTGAAGCAATGCAGGACCTGCTGGTGATGGAGGTAGGGCTGCCCAAGGAGATGGGACGTCCAGCACCCCGGTGACAACAGGACACTCAGATGCCACAAGGCTGCATCCCAGCGCTCGCAGTCCCTAGGAGCATCCCAGCCCAGCAGCACCCACCACGCAGCAGCACCCCTGACTTCCACCTGCACTCACAGCACGGATAATTCAAGAGCAAGATGTCATCCAAGCCAAGGTAGCCCCGGCGCTCGCTGGAGATCACCGCCTCGAAGAGGACCTGTGGCACCGAACAGAGGGGTCAGGCACGGCGGAGCGGTCCCCTAACCCAGGACCGAGCCTTTGGAGCTGGCCCCATCTCCTGAGCAAAGGGATTTTAAGGCACGTTTATAGCAGGTGACACGGGGTCTGTAAGGGATGGGGGGATCCGGGGAGGACTCACCTGGTACTCGCTGGGCCAGAACAAGCTGACAGCCAGCTCAGCCTGGTGCCACTGGCGGCCGTGGGAGCCTGAGGCATTCCAGACCGCGCTGCCCACCGGGCCCCCCATCACCCGCACGTAGGCATTGAGGGTGCCAGGGCTGTGGCCATCACGGCTGTACATGAAGTAGCTGAACTGCAGGCAGTGCGTGTCGTTCTCGCTCAGAGCCTGGAAGAGCAGGTGAGCCCGCTGACCTGCGGCGTGCTGAGAGGCGTTCACCATCAGGTAGGAGCCTGAGGGAAAGGGAGAGGAGGGAGAGCGTGCAACTGTGCCTGCACTCAGCCCTGGGTTGGGGACATGGAGGAAGCAGATGGACATTGAGGATGAAGGTCATGAAGATGATCAGGGGGCTGGAGCACCTCCCCTGTGAAGACAGGCTGAGGGAGCTGAGCTTGTTCAGCCTGGAGAAAAGAAGGCTGCGGGGTGACCTCAGTGCAGCCTTCAGGACCTAAAGGGAGCCTACAAACAGGAGGGGAATCAACTCTTGGAAAGGGGAGATAACTGCAGGATGAGGGGAAATGGTTTGAAGTTGAGGGAGGGAAGATTGAGGTTGGATGTCAGGGGGAAGTTCTTTGCTGTGAGAGCGGTGAGGTGCTGGAACAGCTGCCCAGAGGCTGTGGATGCCCCGTCCATCCCTGGAGGTGTTCAAGGCCAGGTTGGATGGGGCCCTGGGCAGCCTGGTCTAGCATTAAATGTGTGCCACATGGCCCTGCATGTGGCAGGGGGTTGGAGATTCATCATCCTTGAGATCCCTTCCAACCCCAGCCATTCTGTGATGAGGGAAGGCCGAGGAAGACGGTTCCCCTGTGACACCAAGTCCCACTGCACGTGCCACCAAGCCCTTAATGGCTTCGATGCAGACCCTGCAGCTTCCCATTAATGCCCACAGCTCCAGCAGTGAGCCCCCACCCTGACCCGACCCATTTAATTCTCATTTCCCTCGTATCATTGAGCACGCAGTTGTTGCTGATTTAAAACTGTGCTCAGCAGACTCTTAAGGGATAAAAATGCTTACCAGTGTAATGAGCCCACCGGGATGCCCACATCCTGCTGTCCCCATCCCCTGAGCCTTTGGTCCCCCACCAGCAGGCACTGCTGCAACCCAAAGCCACTGATGCTCACTCGTAAGGACTGAACACCCCAAGGGGACCCAAAATGCATCACCCACCCTATAGGCTGCACGGCAAAACCCTGCCATGGAGGAGCAGAGTCCTGCAGCCACGGGGGTCCCACAGCCAGCTCTGCCCCTAACCCACCCCAGCAAAGACAAGATCATTCATATTCCATCCATTTTAATAACTGCACATGCTGTAACTAACAAAGCCAGGCCATTTATCCAAGTCAACCATTGTTTTCCTGACAGCAGCCCCTTAATAATTAATAGTTCTCACCGCTGTTTAATTTACATGAATCCACGCACTGTCCTCCCACCAAGCAGCTCCGTGGGCACCCAGTCAGCCCAGCAAAGGCACAGGGAAATCCACGTGCTTGGGAGCTGCGCTCATGGGTGCTCCCACCTGCACCTGGGAAAAGGCAGTGCTGCACCACAGCACCTCCTCCATCGCATCCTTAGAGATGGGAGCCAGTGGGGCAATGAACAAAAGAGGAAAGAAATGAAATCACTAAAATTAAAAAAAAAAAATTGGGGCTGTATCCATAAGCCTGCATTGCCACTCTGCATCTGATCCTTTCCAGGCAGACGTTCAGGGTGAAATAAACTTATTTTCCTCGGATAACACAGCTGCATTTCACAGAGAGAGAGGAAGCCAGCGTGTGGCTATTCCTTCTGTAGCTGTCATGGTGTTCTGTTCTTTTTTTTCTTCTTTTTCCCCCATCAAAATTATTGCTGCACCAAAAGCCAATGCCATCCCACACCAACCCACAGGACACCTCTGAAACAACCTCAGCCCACCTGAGCTTCCAGGCTCCCATCAGGACACGGTGCCCTTCCTCCTGCCCACAAATAAAACCAGAGGATGTGAAAAATAAGGAGGCTGAGACTAAAATTAGACCCCCAAGGAGTTATTTTAACGACTGAGCTGTGTCTGATGGGACTGGTGCTGCAGCATCACCACCAAACAGAGCCCTGGGCTGGCAGCTCCTCCTTGCTCTGGCAATAGGTTGGATGGGGTGCAACATCCCTCAGGCTTTCTTGCAGGTATTTTTCCAAATTTCAGCATGTTTCTGGCTGTTTTTCAATACAGCCCATTTCTCAAGGCAGCAAAGCCCCAGCTGGGTGCCCTCAGGAGCAGCAGTGGGGCACTGCCAGCACATGGGGACTGCAGCACTCAGTCCCAGAGCACCGTGCAGCCCCATAGGCCTTGCAATTAAAAATTATCCTAATTGCTTCAAGCAGAGCCGGAGCCCAGGAGGCAGAGAGGCTGCATCCCTGCCCTGCAGCATCCCAGAGCCACGGGGCCGAGCAGCCAGAGTGCAGTGCTGTATCACAGCTGTGTTTTTTGAGCCCTGTCCATACGCTGGCAGTACAGCAAAAACCCACTCCAAAAAGCACAATGGGAATTATTCCCAAGAGTCACACAAACTGGGCATCTTCAAGGGGACACGACCCACCAGGATGGCTGCAGCCCCCCCCCCAGGAAACCTTTCCTCCCCAGCAGCACTGAGTCCATTAGTGCAGAGAGTTTGATCGATGCTGTGCTTCGTTTGGTAAATCCTTCCTCCGCTGTTCAATCCAATGTAAGGTCAGCTTTAATTGACACACCAGCCCTGCAGGCTGTCACCTCGCCTCGTCACCAGGAGTAATGAGCCACCCCCCCCAGGACAGGCAGCCCCTCTGCCTGGGAGGACACGGGCAATGTAATTTAATTTAGTTTTCAGGTAGGTTTCCAGGGAGAAGCCCAACAGCTCTGAGGAGACGCAGAAGAGTCTTAAAAGCGCTAAATAACATTTCAAATGAAAACAGAAAGAAGTTTCTGGCTGTGTTCCCAATGGGAAAAACAGCACATCGGTAGGTTAAAGTGGTCAGCAAGGAGCACCTGAGGTCTGAGCTGCGAAATCCCCTCTGCCTCCAGAGTCTGTGTATGGCAAACCCTGGACCTGTCCCTGCAGAATCCTTCTGCAAGGTCCCCAGCCTTGCTTCCCCATGTGGGGACATGAGCCCTCCCTCAGATCCCAACCAGGTGTTTTGGGAGCAGTGCAGCCCCTCTCCCCCCATAGCCTCACATCTCATTCAGTTTTTATCCCAGGAAACCACAGAGAGGGGATAAAAGAGCTACAAAGAGGCAGCAAAGCAGCACACGAGGTGAGCAGCAGCATCCAGCTCCTGCCCTGAGCATCTCCCCAGGGAGCCCAGCACCAACCCCACCATCACCTGGAGGCTCAAAGGTGCCAAACAAGGTCAGTTTTCCGAGCCCCAGTGCTCAGTGTGTGATTTGCAGGAGAGACAAGCAGGGAAGCAACTGCTCCACAGAGGGATGTTTTTAATACCACTGAGTTTGGAAGGAAAACTTTTCAATGCTTTGCAATGCAAACCTAGCAAAAGAAGCTGTTCACAAAGCCGTGCTCCATCCTGCACCTGCTCCACCCAACAGATCCCAACATTACTCCAGCAATCCCAGCCCATCTTCAGCCCAAGTGTGGGCAGAGCAGCTCCGCAGCCGCAGGGCTGCAGCCCAGAAACAAGCTGAAAAAGCAAAACTGCAACGTGGGAGAGCCCCATCCGTCTTCTTTATGAGAAAGAGGGAGACGAGTCAAGATGGAAAGAGAGGGAAAAACAAACACAGCAAGAAAACAAAAAGAAAGAGGGGAAAAAAAAAAAAAAAAAAAAAGGTAGAGGCGGGTGGCCTGCAGCCAGCATCCGCTCCAATAAATCCTGTGCTCCTCAAAGCTGGCTGATCTCCAAGAAAAACTCATTTTAATCCAAGACCACGAGACTCCTTTGTGAAGTGCTCCCCGGAGAGATCCTGGTGCTATGCGATGGTGTTTCTGCTGGGGGGGGGGGGCAACTTGGGGAGCCCCCTGGAAGGGGCTGAGAGCCCTGCAGGTGCCACCCACTGCTCGCTGACCCACGTTGGGGTTGGGACCCCCTCCCTGCACACCCGTGGGCTGCACCATGCCATGCTGCAGTCTCCAGCCACCTGCAAGCCCCCTGGCTTCAAGCTGGTATGCTTCGTTGCTGCTTTTAAATTGGAGTTTCTGCTCAGTTTTCAGCTGCAATTACAGGTTTGAGGCTCTGACATCAAACCCCCCAGCATCCCCTCCCCAGCTCCGCTTCCCATCTTGCTGCCCCCAGGTAAAAGCCCCATCAAAGAACGAATTAGGTTAGCTCAGTTTAAAGCAATTATTTCCATTATCTGTAATTATTCCTGCAGCAGAACACTGCTTTGGGTGTCCAGGATATGGCAACCCCCCTAACCCCCAAATGTCACCCAGGGCGCTGCCCAGGGAGGGGCTTATAGTGGTCTCCAATCCCAGCCATCAGAGCAAGGAGCCAGACCCACAAAGTAAGAACAAGTGGCTTCAAAGTGATGTGATTTTAAAAGAGAAGGGAAAAATCTCCATCTGCATTTTTCCTCTCACAGTTCCTGAGACATCAGGGCTGCCTGCAGCTCACAGCCACGAGCATCTGCCCGTGTCACAAGAGCCAGAAGCACACTGCTCCCTTTCCCATGACTCCTGGAGATGGGAATTTCTCACTAGCCACCAAATACAGCAGAAAGGAAAGAGCAGAGGTGCCTTTAAAGGAGGGATTTTGGGTGCCATCCTGGCACTGCTGCAAGGAAATCCCAGATTGGGTGCAGACCTCCCTGCAGCACAGCCTCAAGTCCTGTATCCCCAAACTGTGACATCCCCAGGTCCACATTAAGGACCAACACACCTTGCCGTGGGGCACAGCAGCATCCCAACCACGAGATGGAGGGTGAACCAAGTCAATTCCCATCCCAGGCACGTGACCAGCTCTGGCTTTGGGGTTGGGACTCACCGTGGGGCAGGTCGGCCGTCAGATGTGGCATCATGTAGCTGCGGACCAACTCCCACCCGAAGTCATCATCCTCACCCTGGCTGTACTCACACTGGTTCAGATCGTCGTCCTCCTCGAAGGTGCAGCCCGCTGCGGACAGACAGACAGACACACAAATCAGCCCCGGGAAGCAGCTGCTCTGTCCCCAGAAGCCCAGCTGGGATGGATGCTGTTGCACCCTACAAAATATTGAGGTGCACCCAGCCATCCCCCCACGCTCCCACTCCTGCAAACACAGGAGCAAAGCTGCCCCACGCCTCTCCTCCTCTCCTCTCCCATGCAGTGAGACGAGCTGCCAGTCCTCAGCCCCAGGGAGGTCACAGCTGACTCAATGACCTCAGAGGTCTTTTCAACTTAAATGAGTCCACGATCCAATTCAAGCTGCAGCACAGGAACAAGGTCACAGCTTCACTTCCCAGAGGCTTGCTACTAAAACAGGAATTTCCCCCACAAAACAGCACTGACTGCAGCCATTGCACGAGAACCCACAACTGCACAGACCTTGCTTTGGCCCAGCAGATCTGCACACTGCTGCCACAAACAGTGCCAAGCCTCAGGCAAGACCTCCAGCAGCAACTGCACTGCTGGACCCCCAGCTACAGGCTGTCACCTCTAAGCACAGTTAGTTGTTTCTTTCCCTTTGCAAAGAGCAAAGCTGAAAGCTGCACCAAAGCCAAGAGCTGCATATTTGTGGTCTGTAGGGCTCCAGATCCATCCTTTCTCCATCCATCCATCCATCCATCCTCCCCCAGGAAAATGAGATCCGGGGAGCTGTTGCAGACTGCCTCATTAACACTGCCCCAATGTTTTACTAAAATCACTGATCACAAATATGGGGGATTTAAGCCCCCTGGGCTGGTGAGGGCAAGCACAATTCAAGAAAGCCCTGAGCAAACAGGAGGAGAAAGGCAAACGTCCCCCAAATGGGTCAGTGGGAAAGCAGAGCACAGGTCAGGGTGACACTTGTGGGGCTTTTTTTTGTATTTTAACCCCAAATTACACTGTTCAAACCTCCCAGTGCTGGGGTATGAGGGCTTGGAGGGCAGAGATCTCATAGATCTCCAAAGAGAACCAAAACAGCCAGCTTACCAAGCCCACTACTGCAAGATAAGCACAAAATCATTCTTCCCAACACTTAACATGTATGAGAACAGGACTGAGCTTTTCTCTCCCTTTACACTCAGTGTTTAAAGCACTGGGGAGCACTCCAGCCTCAGCATCGAGCTTTCTTTCCTCCCCAGAACCACAAGAATGGGAAACTTCTTTTAGAAGGACTAAAAGCAAATCTTCTCCCATTCAGAGCACCGAGGAACGGAGCCTGCCTGCTTTCTCAGAGCCTCTCACTAAAAGGCTCATTTGTGCTGTGCCAGCCCTGCATGGCAGTGCTGCGTGTGGATGCACTCCCAGCTCCTTCCCATCACAGCATCTCCGGATCTGACAGCACCCACCACCTGGCTCAGCTTCCCAATGGGAAGGAGAAGCAGAAATGTGATCAATTTTTCCACCGAAGGAAAGGAAAAAATGCAAAAGTGATTTTTAGGGGAGGAAAAAAAAAAAAAAGTGTATGTTTTCCTTCTGAAGTCTGGTGAGTGGGTATCTGAAAAGGGAGAAATTTATTTGTGGGGATGATTTATCCCATCCCAGAGAGCCAGGGGCTCTGGGAGGCACGTGGAGCTGGCAGAGCCCTGTGCCCCAATGAAGGATCCCCCATCTCTGCTCCCACAGAGCATCCTCACCGCCCTCCTTGCACAGCCCCTCCTCCACGCTGCATGGCACCACCTGAGCTCCCAGATCCCCACATCCCAGTGTCCAACCCAGTATCCTCCAGCAGTGTGAGAGCATCAGGGAACACCTTGTGTTGGGAAGGACCAGCAAGGTGCAGAGCCAGACACCTTCATACCACTCCCCCAAAATTTAGGGTTTATCTGTGAATGCTCTGCCCCCAGAGGTGTTTGAGGCCAGGTTGGATGGGGCAGCCTGGTCTGATATTAAATATGGAGGTTGGTGGCTCTGCATGTGGCAGGGGATGCTGGAGATTCACGATCCTTGAGGTCCTTTCCAATCCAGACCATTCTGCAATTCATGCTTGCAAGCAAGGCAAGGCTTCCCTGCAACCTAAAATCCCCACCTGCAAGCACCAGGATGGTTTTTATCCACCCAAAGGATGCTGGCAGCAGTTCGTGCTCCACAGGAGCTGCTCTGGGTCCCAGATGCTTCCTAAAAACTTACGAACGGAAACACAGAGCCCCCGCAGCAGCCCCTGCCTTGGTTCAGTGCCAGGGAAGGAGCAGCTCCAAGAGCTGGAGGAGGTGAGAAGCAAGCAGCAAGAGCAGATTAAAATATCAGCGTGGGCACGACTGCCTGGTGCCAACAGCTCTGAGCATCCCAGATGATGCTGGAGAAGCCCAAATTAGCTGACAGCCCCCAAAACCCAGGGGATGGAGAGGGAAGAGACGACAGATCCATGCAGAGGAAGGAGGAAAAGAGAGCATAGAGCAGCAGGCATGCCTGCCCACCTCTTCCATGCATGGAGGCGGTGCTCCTCTCGCCTTGATGTTAATTATGTCCTTTGCTGCTTAAAACTGTGGGACAAACTCCAGGGGTTTCTCCTTGTTGTTATGGAGCAGCCCAGGGATGTGTGTGGATGGGGATCCAACACGGCATCCCACAGCTGCATCAACCTCAAAGAGAGGCTTTAGAAATAGGGCCGTGCCCCAAACGCAAGCTGCCCCGAGCTGTGGTTAATGCAGCAGCCAACATCTCTCCCACGTACACCTGAGTAAGATGCTCTCAGTTCTGCTCTTAAACGCAAGGCAATGATGCTGTGGGTCTGCAACCCCCCCACTCCCACACCCCTCTGCCAGCCCCAGCTGGCACCAGGTTCCCTCCAGCCTCAACAGGAGATGGCAGCGATGGGACATGCAGCAGGATGGGGCAGCCAAGTAGCAGCAGGGACACCCAGGAGCACACAGGGATGCTGCACGTTCCCTCGCCACAAGCACACAGCACCACACAGCTCCCAGCCCAACAGCAGCACCCAGCTGTGCTATTTCCAGGCTCTGCTGGAAGGAAGCTCCCACGTGCAGGCAGCAGACGTGGGGGATTGGGAATTGCATCCTGCAAGCTCGCTCTGCTCCCTGCAGCAGCTCAGCCCATGCACTGCAGCATCCCTCCTCCCGACCCCATTGGTGCACAATGCCCCACACTGCAGCACCTCTGCCCCAGTGCTGCCCCAGCTCCAAATCCCCCCAACTGGAGCCTCTGTAGTTTAAAAAGCCCCTTGAGTCCAGCAAAAGGGAGATGAGCACTTGGGACACGAACACAACAGCCACACTCACTGCTGGTGCAACACACACATCAGATCTTGCCACAACCTCAATCCCTGCTTCTCTTCATCGCCCACTTTGGCAAAATAGAAATGTCTTTAAAAAAAAAAATACTCATTTCCTGGACCCGATAAAAGCTGATTAGAAGGATATGGAAAGCAGCGACATTAAGATTCTTGCCAGTAGTTTGTTTTGCTTCTCCAAATCATTTTAAATATTGCGTTTAATAGAAAAATAATTTGCTCAGCTGTAAGAAACGTCAATTTGCAACTTGAAGCCTTGTATATTAGCCAAAGAAGCTAATGCGTAAACATTAGCAGCTCCAATAACGCATGGGGTTTAGCCAATGCAATTCCAGGGAGAGAATAGCCAGATATTAAGACAGAGGATTTGCATAATAAGTCACTTACGCCTGATAACCCCAGCGCCTGGCACAGGGCTGGGAGAACAACATCCATCCAGCAGCAACTGCAGACGTCATCCATCTGGGTTGCTGAAGACCCTCCTGATGGCTCCCACCTGCAAAGCCCTCACTGCTGGGACCCAAAACTCAGAGCCCGGTGCTGAGATGCTGCGGCACTCCCAGGTCCCATAGGAAATAGGGCAGGGATGCAATGCGGTGCAGGGAAAAGGCAACGTGTATGGGGCTGGTTGTGGGCTAATGAGCTGCAATACAAGCACTTTCATAATGAACCGTCACTTAATTAACAAAGTCAGGGCTGCCTCTTGTGCACTAAAGGAAGAAAAACAAAGGCAGGCTTTTGGAAACCCACGGTCCTGGAGTTATCGATTGCTCACAGTGCAATTAAGCCTCAGGGCTGACAGGCAGGCAGCTCTGCTCCTCCTGCTCTTTGGGTGGGGGGGGGAGAAAAATGGCAAAAAAAGGTGATCTGGCCTTTCCTGCCCCCTGGTACCAATGGATGCCTGTGCTGAAGGCTCCCTGCTCCATGTGCATCCTGAGAGCCATGCAGAGCAGGAGCAATCCCACTGCAAAGCACAGGCTGGCAGCACCAGGTGTTGCTATGATCACACTGTAAATCCGGAGCCACCGGAGCCCTCCGCTGCCTTTCCCAATGGCTTATTTATTGCTTTTAATACCTCCCTCCTTTTGCTCGCAGCGCTGTCTACAGAGCCAGGTTTGCTCTGCAAATGGTCCGTGTCATTTGTCAAAAAATTGAATTCCTCTTTTCTCCTGAACAAGAGGCTCAGGGAAGGGCTGTGCACGCCAAGCAGTCTGCGCAGCGCTGCCCTGCTCTGCTCCCAAACGCACAGCAGCCAATTCCTCAAATACAGCAGGGACTCAGCAACACCACTGCTGAGACCCAGCCTTGCACCGAGCCCCAGCTCTGACCCAAGCCCTGCATTTTGCTGCAGGCAGGCAGATGAGAGGCAGAAATGAGCCACAGCAGCGCCGGGTGCATCCTGGCCATCGCACAGCTTCACCCTTCTCCTTCCTCCTCAATCTGTTGCATCTCAGCAGCTTCTCCCACGCAGAGGATCGGCCACGTGGGGACCTCATCGAGGCTGGGGATGCAGACACTGGGCAGCAAAAGTTGGATTCACCCAGTGAGTGATGCTGATAAAACCAGAAATTCTCCAGCACGGAGATGTGCTGCTTCACTTTGAGATTGTTAACACAGGAGAGAAGCAGGACTGCTGTCAGCTGGGAAACAAAATCAATGGAATGTTATCACACAGCAAGGGGAAGCAGAAGGTGGCTGTTAGGCTGAAAATAAGACCCCCCAAAAAAGTGAACAGCAGAGGGAGAGTTCTTGGGAAAAGCCCCTTCTGCCCCTGCACAGCAACATGGGGATCAGTGGGGTCCTCTGCAACCCAACCAGCCTGGCTGCAGCTGGGTGAGCCAAACATGGCCCTTATGCAAAGAGCATTCATTCAGATAACTGCAGGGGGTACTGAGGGATCTCTGCTTGCTGCTGATGGGTGCAGCCCCACGTGGCACCCAGTGGGCCAACCCAGGACACGGCAAATGCTTCATATTTGGTGCTGAGCCCCTCAGGCACCTCACTTTGTGCCAAGCAAAGTCTTTGGAGGTTCCCAGCGAGCCAAAAGCTCTGCCAGAGCCACATAAGGGCCCATGAGGAATATGGGATACCCTATGACCAAGCAGAGACACCAGCCCTATACAGATGGCTGTATCCCACAGAGCATCCCCAACTGTGCAGTCCCATGGGCACTTCCAGATCCACCCAAGCAAGGAAATACTGTTTGTCTGCAATCCATTCATCCACCATGTGATGCTCCATCTCCTTCAGTGCATCGGGTTCCAGCAGCAACAGGAAGACCCCAGGCAGCCCCCAAAAGCCCCTCACTGGGAAGCAGCTGAGTCACAGCATTCCATCCCTGCAGTGCCATCATCCCTGTGATGCCATCACCCCCACGGTGCCCCAGCTGCATTGATGGGATGCGGGCAGGCAAAGTACTGGGCTGGAGCAGTTCGTGCTCCCATCTGCACTAATTGGGATCACTGCAGTGGATGGCTGTGGCACAGGGACACACATGAGGCTCAGACAGCCCGGGGGCTCCGTGCCATTGCCTCGGTCAAACCAGCAGCAGTGCAGGGACAGCAGCCTTGTTACCACGATCAGGTCACCGCAGTCCCCTCGTGCTGTCGAGGTGGAGGGGCTCAAACAGCAGCTCAAGCCACAGCCCTCATTAAGTTAATGATGTCACACCAGAGCTCACGCACACAGAGGGGTCGGGGCAATCAGCTCAGCTTGCTGGGGTCACACAGCCCAAAGGGTGATGCTTGCACTGCCGCAGCCACCCCACGACGGGCAATTCCCTGCTCTTTTTCAAGCTACATCACAAAGCGAAGATTCAGAGCATCGCTCCGGCCTCAATATTTACACCCTTCATCTACAGCACCGCACTGCTCTGCGCTCCACGCCGGTTCCCCACGCACCGGGACTTCGCTGCTGCAGCGGCCGCTGTCCCCGCTCCCTCTGGCGGCCGCGTACGGCGCAGCGCCCGGAGCGCCGGGATGGCCGCAGTTCAGTTTTGGGATCGGATATCTGCTCCTCAGCTTTAGGATCGGGCAGATGGGGGACGGCTCGGAGACACGCAGCCATCGAGCTTTGCTTCGGGTGGGAATTAAAACCCGACGTCCCTGCGCTTGTTCCAGGATGCGACCCAAGCCAGGACTTGAGAGAAGCTGGGTTGCTGTTGGGAACGCAGCACAGCCAAAGAGCAGTCGGTGCTCAGCACCCTACGGTGCACAGCAGGAACGGGGCTGGTAGCTGCCAGCATCCAGCGGGTCTGTGTGCCCCCAGCACCAGCCCGGTGGGTGGGAACAGGGCTGACCCTGAGCTTTACAGCAGTGTTGGACTTTGGATCCGTGCACCAGGAAACGGCTCTGCAAACACCAGCGCCCTTGGAACAGCAATGGGGAAGGGCCTCTGGTGCCTGCCAGCCCTCACCCTCCTCCTCCTGCCCACAGCCACCCTTCAGCCCCGTGTCCCCAGGATGCCCCGCAGCTGCACCAATGCCCAGCACCTCCCTGACCCTCATCTGGATGTGTCCCAGCACTGAAACCAACAGCAGCTCTGCCAGACAGCAGCAGAGCAGGGCTCCAAGAGGCCATCTGCAGCGGAAAGAGAGCGCTCTGTCTCCAGGATGGGTTTATTTGAAGGCTGCCAAGGAAGAGGAGATCAGACCCAGGGGGGTGGGAAAGCGCTGGGAATCGTCCTCACCCCGGAGAGAAAAGCCTCAGGTTCCCCAGTATCACTGCTTTGGGACTGGGCGAGTGCCACAGCATGGGGCAAATGCTCCAGCAAATGCTGTGGGGACAGGAATGGTGCTCAGGGGCAGCTGCAGAGCAAAGCCTCCGACTGCCTTTGGGAGAGGAGGAGGAGAAGGGTTGGGAATGTGACATTTAATCACGCAGCAACGAAAGGTTCCCAGACACGTCTAATAAGACAATTATAGTGCATGTTAATAATAGATTATTAAAAAGCTTATTTATGGAGGTTTAAGCAGGCAGATGGCAGGGCTGTGTTGATAAGGCTCTCCCCAGCCCCGCTCCGAGCATGCGGAAGGGATTTACCTGCTCCTGCTGCTTAACCCCTTTGTGGCTACCAGCAGCAAAGCTACAAACAGCTGGGAGGGGACCTTTAAGGGGTGCCACCAGCAGGCAGAGGGAGCAGAGCCCAGGGGGGAGTGGTTCTCAGGGCTCTGGGAAGTGTGCTGAAAAATGGCTGTGAGCAAAGCAAGCTCCCTCCTGGTGCTAAGTGGGGGAAAAAAACACTCAATTTGGAGGAAAAACACTGTCCCCACTGGCTGGCAATAGGGGGGCTGCTGCTGCCCAGGCAGGAGTCAAAGCCTTTGATTTCCAGGGCTTGGATCCTGCTGGCTACGAGCAGGAAATGCTCCTCGGGAAGCTGAGATTTGGAAGGTTTGCCTTAGTTTGGATAAGGGAAAAAATGCTCTGCGCGGGCCAGGAGGTGACTCACCAGGACGGCGGGGCAGGTCCAGCACTGCCTGCAGCCCAGGAAAACAACCAGGGAGAGCAGCACCGGAGCAAAAGCAAAGCACAAACACTGGGGAGGAAGGAAAAACAGCACCGAGCTCTGACATCCCCCAGCTCTGCTTCACCTCCACGGGCAGCAAAGCCCTCCGCGCCCCAGTGCTGCTGGGTAGAGGGGGAATATGGAGAGATGGGAACGGGGCTATGGGAGGAAGGTGCTGCATCCCAAGGACAGCAGTGTGAGCTTTCCGAGCACCCTGGGATGTGGGGACCCTGCGAGGGGTCTGCATCATTACCTGCTGCTGTAGCACCAAGCACGGCATAAAAAGCAAAGAAACGCAGATGGAACAGCAGCCAAGGGAAAGATTCTTCACAACGCAACAAGAAAAGGCAGGAGGGCAAAAAATAAACCCATCCCAGCTGCCAGCAGCACAGCCCCAAACCCAGGCCAGCCCCCGGGGGTCCCGACCTGCGCAGGGATGCGAAGCTCCATCACCTCCATTATCTCGTGATGAGGACGCGGCCGTTACAGAGCGACGCGGCCGCATTTGTTCCGCTCCCCGACCCCAAACCCGACAAAGGGAACGCGGCCGCTCCCATTCACTCGGCGCAGACAATGCGGGGTCAGAGGAGAGGCCAAACCAATCCTCACCCCCCCCCCGCCCAGCCCACCCCAACGCCACCATCCTGAGGCCGCTTTGGGAGTGTGGGAACCTCTCCTAAAGGAATGATCCCAAAACCAAATATTTTATTGCCGCTGAATGCTCGGGATGCTGCTGGAAGAGCCCCCAATAGGGACGAGCAGTGCATCCCGTGGAGCACCTCCGCATCGAAGCTTTGAGGAGGTGGAAACGAGCAGCTCGGTACACTCTATAGCCGAAGACGAGCAGCAGGTGCCCGCTGCCCTGCAGCACCTGACAGCGAGGCGATGCCCCCCCCGGAGCCCCCGCTGCGAACAGCGCAATGCCGACAGCTCAGCCACGGCGTGATCGGAACGAACCGCTGAAGTTTGTGCGCTCCGGAGAGGAGCGCGGTGCATCCCGCGGGCACAGGGTGGGCGTCCCAGAACGGAGCAGACATTGAGATTAACGATGGGATGGATGGAATAATGGCCCCATAGGGGATGGGGGAGAGGCACACAGAGCACCGCGCGCTGCGGAGCCGAACCGCAGCATCCCCGGTCCGTCGGAAGGGCACCGCGTGGGGCAGCGGGCTGAACCCGAATTCGGTCGGGGCGGCACCTCCAGCCCCAAACCCCGCTCCACACGGGGGAAAACACCACGACCCCCCATACCAGCCAAAGCGCAGCGCTTCAAACGCGAATCCCCTCCACGGCGAGCTGCCACCGAGGCGCGGAAATCCCCCGGAGCTGCGGGCACAGCCCCATCCCGAGCGGTGCAGCGCAGCCCCGTCCCTCAGTTTCCCCGCAGAGCCGCTCAGCCCCGCACCGCACGCGGTCACGGCGAACGAACACCGCAAAACGCCGCGACACAGCCGGACCCGGAACGCTTCCCCATCCCCGCCCCGTGCCTCAGTTTCCCCGTACTCCCCAAAAACCCACCGCCCTTCCCAAACTCCAAACGAGGGCTAACCACGCACCGAACCCCCCACGGACCGCGACCGCACCGCTCACCGGAGGGCGTTTCGGTGTCCAACGCGCAAACCCGCAAAGCGAGGGCGAGCAGCAGCGCCCGGGCGCTGCGCATGGTGCGAGGGCGGCGGCGGGGCGGAGGGGCCGGGGGCGGCCGCCGACACCACCGCCACCGCCGCCTCCTGCGGGCCCCCCGGATCCGGCGCAGCGGGGCCCGCGCGTCCGCCCCGCTCCTCAAATAGCGGCGGCCCCGCGCCGCCCTGACGTCAGCGCCGCCGGCCCCGCCGCCTCCACCGCCGCCACCGCCGCGGGCAGCGAGAGAGGGCGGGGAGAGGGCGGGGAGAGGGCGCCCCCTGGCGGCCGTACGGCGAGTTGGCGGCGCGGTGCCGCCCCCGCTGGGGGGGTGAGCGGTTTTGAGGGGCTGGACGCGGTTGCGAGGGGTGCAGCAGGGGTGTAGGGGGGTGTAAGGTTGGGGGTGCGTGGTGACGGGCGGTTGGGAGGTGGGGGAGGTTGCAAGCTTTTAAGGGAGTGATTGGTTTGGGGGATGCGGCTGGAGGGGTGAGTGATGGATGGAGGTTGGTGAGGTTCTGGGGGTGCGTGGTGGGGTGCACGCTTGCAGGGGTGATGAAAGGCTGTAGGAGGAATCGTGATTTGTTGATGGGGGGTGCAAGATTGGGGGATGCTTGGTTGCATCTTGGGGCTGCGTGGTTGCTGAGGGGTGCACAGTTGCAGGATGTTGAGATGGAATGCTCAGCACGGCTGCATGGGAGCAGTAGTGGCAATGGTGGGGTGTCACCCAGCAGTGCCACCATCCCTGGGGTCGGACGGGGGGGGTGATGGTGCAGCAAGGGAATGGAAGGGGAAAAAAAAGCATCAAAGGGCAGAAAATGAGGAAAAATCTGCACAGGACCCATAGGGACGTGGCAGTGCCAGGGGATGAAAGGGCTCTTGTTTGCCTGCACCCTCCACAGCAGGAAAATGTTTACTCAAAGGCTGGGGGGGCTGAGTTCTGCCATCCAGCTCAGCTCCTCCCTCTGCGAGCTCTGTGCTGCTGCTGCACCCCGAATCCCTTTGTTTTATCCTTAGGGGGTGAAATCCACCCCAGGTAGGAGCACTGCACCCTCCCAGCCTATTTGTCATTAACCAGCAAAATCAAAGCTAACCCTCCTTTCCCCCCCGCCATTCTGCACCGCTGAGGTCTGCAGCTGGCACGTGGCTCTGTGCATCCATGGATTCACCCCAGTGCCAGCCTGGTGCCAGCTGCAGGTCTGTGCACAGAGCAGGATGCACCAGTCTGCACCACCAAGCTGCAGCCAGGTCCATTCGGGGACCTTCATCCCTGCAGGGAGGAGGAGGAGGAGAAGGAGCAGGGGTTGGGTGCTGTCTGTACGTGGGCCAGCTTTCCTGCCATGGAGCAGCACATGGCCTGGGAGCTTGGCAGTGCCCTTGGGACAGCTGTGTCCCCATGATTCTGTCAGTCCCCATGGCTCCAATGCGTGCTGAGCTCTGGGTTTGGTCCCTGGGTTTGGTCCCTGGGTTTGGTCCCTGGCCCCTTCCCATCCCCACCCCATCTCCTGCTGCCATCAGCCCCCAACGCCTGCAGGAGCAATCGAGCTAAAATGAAGTAATCACTCTTCAAGTGCAGTCATTTGCAGAAAAAACGCAGGCCTCTCCGTGATTGCAAATGGTCTCTGCTGAAACCCTCATTCCCATTCCAAGGATAAATGTTTGCAGCTCCAGTGTGACAGCAGCCTGCAACACAGCCCTCGTGTCCTCACTGCGTCTCTGGGTTCCTTTGGATCGGGGACAAAAAGATGGGGTTTGGAGCTTTTGAGCCTCGTTGGAGCCAGCAGTGCTTTGGGGAGGATGTTTTCCTCTTGCTCATATAAAGACAAAGTGATGGAGCAGGGCTGGCCCATAAGCCCCCAGCAGCCATGGGATGGGTGGGCTGCCCTGCACTGAGTGGGACTCCCTCCCCCAAACCTCTCCTTCTTGGCTTATTTCAGAACACCACACTTTCTCCCTTTTTCCTGTGAGGACATGGGAGCTATGAGGACACAACCTGGCTGTGCATCCCCCACCACTGCACAGCCATCCTGCACCCCACTTTTTTACCTTCTGCTTTTGTCCCTCTATCTCTCCAACGCCGCCTTCTCTCCCTCTCCTCCCTCCCCTTTGCTTCCCTCTTCTTTTTTCTCTCTCTCTATTACACCACCATCCAGTCCTTTACCTCTAATAAGTCCCCGCTATTTTCTCAAATCACCGCCTTTTCCTAATGCCCCAAATCCTTCTCTTTCTTAGCAGACAAAACAGCTGATCTCATCCCGCCCAGCGGTCAGGCCGGATGTAATGGGGCTATTAGATGAGTTATCACTGCCTGAAAGGATGAAATAACTCTGTGCCTTCACCCAAATAAACCAGCAGAGCCACTCGTGGTCCTGTGCATGGCAAAGAAGGAGCGAGAGCTCCCGGAGGAAAGAGCTGTGAAGATGCTGCAGGATGTTACATGGCATGACATGATGTTAGAGCATAGAGTTATGCTGTGTTGCTTCAGACTCAGCTCCTCTGCCCTGTGTTTCCCAATGGAAATTGCTCAAAAACTATTCCAGAGCATCACCCATCAGGCTGCAGTGCTTAACACGGGGCCACAGCTGCAACCCCAAGCGCGTGGATTTGGCCCTTCCTGATTTCAGCAGTAAAATGGTTTTGATAAGAAAAGGATGAAGGCACAACAAGCCAGCGGATCTGCCCCAAAACACAGCGTTGTGTCCTCCATCATTGACTTTTTTCCTTACAAGAAAGCGAGGTGGGAAATGAATCAGCCCACGTGCTTTGGGACCCTGATGGCATCCAAAGTGACACGAGCCATTCTGGGTTTGGGGGTGCTCAGCTTTCCCACTGTCACCTCTGGGTGCTGCCAGGCCTGGTCTGAGCAGAGGATGGAGCAGTGCTTTGTCCAGCATTCCTAATTACTCCTTACTTTGGGGATGACACCGCTTTTCCAGTTTGTTTTCTTTCATTGGATTGGATTTTGGGTGCTGTTTGCCCTCCTCGCAGCTCTGCTTTGGTGCTCTTCCAAACTCCATCACAGAAAGGATGCGCTCGGCAGTTTGCAACACAAAGAGCTGGTCGGGCATTTGGGCTGAGCAGGGCTGAGCTGAGGCACCAGCAGAGCCCCAGGAACAATGGATTCCCATCCCAGACAGCACTGCTTGTGCTCACAGTGCTGCAGCATTGGGAAAGCGTCAGTTCTGCTGTGGTCAGGGGCAGAATGGAGACGTGGGGACCTGGAGCAGGGGAGGGAGGAAGAAAGATGGAAGAAACATTTAAAAAAGCAGGAAAGGTGCTGATTTGATTCATTTCTGAGCATTCTTCTAAACTATTTCAAGGGCTTTCCTCTGCCTAGAGGAGTCTCTGCTTGGATGGGATGCATACATGTAGATGTATGCAAGGATATTGCATATCCTTGTGTGTTTCTCTCCCTGCAAAAGGACCACGATGACATTTTGGGTCCCCACTGCTCGCAGCACAGCTGGATCTTTTGTCTGCTCCTTCCCTTATTGATGGCTCCAGCGAAGCCTCCTTTTTCATCTCATTGGCAGAGGATCAGAACTCATCAATCCTCAGTTAGCTGCTGAGCGCTCCGTTTCTTTTATTATTTTCTTTTATTATTATTATCTCAGAATGAAACAATTCAAAGGGAATAGGAGAAAAAAAAAAAAAAAAAAGTAATAATGCAGGCTGTTCTGGAGGCACAAGGCTCAGCCATTGGCGTGTGTACAGAAATTAATCCTGGGCAGCCACGTGCTGGCAGCTGCTGCTGTGTGGAGCATTGGGCACGAGCGTGGCTTTAGGTGGAGGATTCAGAAGGGGTTATGGAATGGTCCAGCACTGCCAGAGGGGTTAAATGAGGGTTTCAGGGCTAAGCTAAAGATGATAGAAGTGGTTCTTTAAGCTCAATATATTTTGTGTTCTCAGGTTCAGGTATGTCTAATCAAAAGGCAGTTGACCAATTTGTCACCTTCTGCCTGGAACTGCTTAGCAGATGATTCCCTGGATCTGTGTTCCATTATGTTTCAGGCACAAAATCACAGCAAATGTCACCCAGGTGCCACTGAGCATTCATGAGCAGCCCTGGGGCTCTGGGCCAAGCACCCCACAGGTGTGCACAGCCAAACCCAGCCCTCATTTTGCTTTCCAGCCATTAACACGAGTGACCAACCCGAATCAGCCGATGGATGAGACAAACCTTTGCTGATTGGTTTTAAGCAGGAAAAGGCAAAGGGGAGCTGGGAGCATCACTGAGCTCCTGGCAGAGCTCTATCAGTGCCACCACCTCAGCCCCATCCTCATCCCACCACTCCCAAACCCCCCTCATGCAAATTTCTGTGAGCCTCTCCCGAAAAAAAATAAAAAATAAAATAAAATAAATGTAATTCCGGGAGATGAAGCAGCCATTAATCACCAGGAAATTGTGCTTGTTACAGGAGAAACATTAACAAAATAATCATAAATAGTCTGCCAGCCCTGATTTGCAAAAGCGTATATTTTGAACCTTATGGAAAGGCGTCTCATTTTGCTCCAGTAATTAGTTATTAACCCTTTGAGACATAGAGTGGGCACCCAAGCTTCCCACTGTGCAGGCTCACCCACATTGCTGCACCTTAAACATGGCTACATCCATACTTTCAGGACACAGCTGTGCTCAGGCTCTCACCAGATGTGGGGAAAAGGGTGTTTGTGCTGAAGAAATGGGATCCTATGAGCTGGGGGAAGGAAATGGGCTTTGGAACCCACAAAGCTGAGCCTGACTCCACTTGTGCCAGCACTGTTGTGTATCTCTTTCTTAATTATGCTGGATTTGACAGAGTAGAAACCACAGAATCACAGAGAAGTGCGTATATTGAATTAATTACAATGTCAGCAGGTGGAGGGGACCAGTTTTTGGTGAGGAAGTGGGAAATGAGCCCATCGAAAGCACGCAATAAAATGATGTGGGGAAGAAAAGAGCAGCTGCTGCCCACTGCCTCTCCTGGTGGGGTGTCAGCTGCATGGGGGGGAATGGAACACCGTGGCCTGAGGCTGGGACTTCCAGGCTTTCATCCAGCACTGACCAACCCTCCAACCCCCATCGGTACCCACGTGCTCCTGTGATGGAGCAGCCATGGGATGCAGCAG